CAAGAAGAAATTTGTAACAACTCACACAAACAATTTAATCACCCAACTGAAAGCCCTAGGGGAAAAAAAAAAAAAGGAGAAGTAGATACACCCAAGAGGAGCAGACAGCTGGAAATAATCAAACTCAGGGCAAAAATCAATCAATTAGAAACAAATAAAACTAGTCAAAGAAACAATGAAACCAAGAGTTGGTTTCTTTGTGAAAGGGGCAGGGAGAAGATGAGGTAGGGAGGGTAGGATTGGGAGGGAATGGGGGAGGGGGCTATGGCTGGGATACAAAGTAAATAACCTGTGATTAATATAAAAAAATAAATTAATTAAAAAAATTAAATTAAAAAAAGGGAAAATCAACAAGACAGACAAACCCTTAGCCAACCCTTAGCCTAAAAGGCAGAGAAACTATCCAAATCAGCAAAATCAGAAATGAAAAGGGTAACATAACTACAGAAACTGAGGAAATCCAAACAATCATTAGGTCGTATTAAAAAAGCCTATATGCCACAAAATTTGAAAATCTAAAAGAAATGGACAATTTTCTTGATAGATTATAGCTACTGAAATTAAGTCAAGCTCAGGTAGAAAGATTGAATAGCCCTATAGGAAATTGAAGCAGTCATCAACAGTGTTCCTTCCAAAAAAAGTCCTGGGCCAGATGGTTTCAGTGCAGAATTCTACCAGACCTTCAAAGAAGTGCTAATTCCAATTCTCTTTAAATTGTTCCACAAAATAGAAACAGAAGGAACTTTACCAAACTCATTCTATGAAGCCACAGTCTCCTTGATACCTAAACCACACAAAAAAGAGAACTTCAGATCTATCTCTTTTATGAACATTGATGCAAAAATACTCAATAAAATACTTGCAAACTGAATCCAAGAACACGTAAAAGATATCATTCACCATCACCAAGTAGGCTTCATCCCAGGCATGCAATTTCAATATACGGAAATCCATCAATGTAATCCACCATATAAACAAACTGAAGGAGAAAAACCACATGATCATCTCCTTAGATGCCGAAAAAGCTTTTGACAAAGTCCAACGTCCATTCATGTTTAAATGCGAGGCACATACCTAAACATAGTAAAGGCAATATACTGTAAGCCTATAGCCAACATCAAACTCAATAGAGAGAAACTTAAATCAATCCCACTGAAATCAGGAACAAGGCAAGGCTGCCCACTCTCTCCATATCTATTCAACATAGTACTTGAAGACGTAGCTAGAGCAATAAGACAAGTAAAGGAGATCAAGGGGGATACAAATCGGAAAGGAAGAGGTCAAAGTGTCACTGTTCGCAGATGATATGATAGTATACCTGAGTGACCCCAAAAATTCAACCAGAGAACTCCTTCAGCTGATAAACACCTTCAGCAAAGTGGCTGGATACAAAAATCAACTCAAAAAAAATCAGAAGCCCTCCTGTATACCAAAGACAAAAGGGCCGAGAAAGAAATTAGGGAAACAACACCCTTCACAATAGCCACTAATAACATAAAGTACCTTGGTGTGACTCTAACCAAGCAGGTGAAAGACCTGTTTGAAAAAAACTTCAAGTCTCTGAAAAAAGAAATTGAAGAAGATATCAGAAGATGGAAAAATCTCCTGTGAATCGGTAGGATTAACATAGTGAAAATGGCCCTCCTGCCAAAAGCAATCTACAGATTCAATGCAATTCCCATCAAAATACCAATATAATTCTTTGCAGACCTTGAAAGAAAAATTCTCAACTTGGAGAAACAAAAAACCCAGAATTTCCAAAACAATCCTGTTCCACAACAGATCGTCTGGAGGTATCTCCATCCTTGATCTCAAGCTGTACTACACAGTAATAGTAATAAAAGCAGCATGGTATTGGCATAGAAGCAGAAAGGTGGATCAATGGAACCAAATAGAAGACCCAGAAATAAACCCACACACCTATGAATACTTGATTTTCAACAAAGAATCCAAAACCATTCAATGGAAAAAAGACAGCATCTTCAACAAATGGTGCTGCTCCAACTGGATGTCTACATGCAGAAAAATGAAAATAGATCCATATTTATCACCCTGCACAAAACTAAAGTCCAAGTGGATCAAAGACCTCAATATAAAAACCGATACACTAAATCAGTTAGAAGAAAAGTGGGGAAGAGCCTTGTACTCAATGGCACATGAGACAACTTCCTAAACAGGACACCAACAGCACAGGCTCTAAGAGCAACAATCGATAAATGGGACCTCATGAAATTGAAAAGCTTCTGTAAAGAAAAAAGACATTGTCATCAAAACAAAATGACAGTCTACAGACTGAGAAAGGATCTTCACCAACCCTATATTTGACAGAGGGCTGCTTTCCAGAATATATAAAAAACTAAAGAAATTAAACAGCAATAAATCAAGCAATCCAATTTAAAAAATGGGATATGGAGCTAAACAGAAAATTCTCTGTAGAGGAATATAGAATGTCAGAAAAACACCTAAAGAGATGTTCAATGTCCTTAGCCATCAGAGAGATGCAAATCAAAATGACTCTGAGATTTCACCTTACATCCATCAGAATGGTAAAGGTTAAAAACTCAAGTGACAACACATGCTAGAGAGGTTGTGGAGAAAGGGGAACATTCCTCCATTCCTGGTGGGAATGTAAATTTGTACAACCACTTTGGAAATCAATCTGGCACTTTCTCAGACAATTAGTAATAGCACATCAAGATCCAGCTATACAACTCCTAGGCATATATCCAAAAGATGCTCAAGTACACAACAAGGACATTTGCTTAACCATGTTTGTACCAGCTTTATTTGTAATAGCCAGAAACTGGAAACAACCCAGATGTCCAGCAATGGAGGAATGGTACAGAAATTACCATACTCTTACACAATGGAATACTACTCAACAATTAAAAACAAAGAAATAATGAAATTTGCAGGCAAATGGTGGGTCTAGAAAAGATCATCCTGAGTGAGGTATCCCAGGAGCAAAAAAACACACGTTATGTATTCACTTATATAAACGTATAAGATAGGATAAACATACCAAAATATGTATACCTAAAGAAGCTAAACAAGAAAGAGGACCCGAGGTAAGATGATCAATCCTCACTTAGAAAAACAAATGGGATGGATATGGGAAGTAAGAGAAAACAAGTAACAGGACAGGAGCCTATCAAAAGAAAGAGTCCCTCTGCGGTAGGCTTCTGTCATGCGTCCAAAGCACATCCCATTTGTATTTCTAAGTGAGGGTTGATCATCTTACCCCGTGTCTGCTTTCTTGTTTATCTTCTTCAGGTGTTTAGATTTCATTATGTTTATCATATCTTGTAGGTCTATATAAGCGAGTATATACCATGTTTGTCTTTCTCCTTCTGGGATACTTCACTCGGAATGATCTTTTCTAGATTCCACCATTTGCCTGCAAATTTCATGATTTCTACCAAAGAAGGCATCTGAAAGACTCTACCTAGCAGTGTTTTAAAAGAGATACTAAGACTCATAACCAAATCTTCAGCAGAAGGGGAGTTAGTATGATGTAGAAAGGATAGGAGTTCCACAAGGACCAAATATATCTGGATACAGGGGTCTTTTCTGAGACTGACACTCCACGAAGGACCATGTTTGGTTATGAATCTTTGCTCGGATGAAGCCCGTGGTAGCTCAGTAATCAATTGGTTTCCCATAGTAAGGGAACAGGGACTATTTCTGACAGGAACTCAATGGCAGGCTCTTTGACCTCCCCACCTCCCCAGGGAGGAGCAGTCCTGCTAGGTCACAGAGGAGGACGTTGCAGCCAGTCCTGAAGATACCTGATAAAACAGGGTCAGATGAAAGGGGAGGAGGTCCTCCCTAATCAGTGGACTTGGAAAGGAGCAGGGAGGAGATGAGGGAGGGAGGGTGGGATTGGGACGGAATAAAGGAGCAGGATACAGCTGGGATACAAAATTAATAAAATGTAACTAATAATAAAAAAAATTAATTTAAAAAGAAAAGAAAGACTCTACCTAGCAGTGTGTCAAAGCAGATGTGGAGAATCATAACCAAACCTTCAGCAGAGTGCAGGGACTCATACGATAAAAGGGGGAAATAATATGACCAGGAGAGGACAGGAGCTCCACAAGAACAAAAATACCAGGACACAGGGGTCCTCTATGAGACTGTTTCTCTAACCAAGGACCATGTATGGATATTACCTAGAACCCCTGCTCGGATGTAGCCCATGTAGTTCAGTATCCAAGTGGGTTTTCCCTAGTAAGGGGAACAGGAACTATTCCTGACATGAACTCGATGACTGGCTCCTTTACCTCCCACCCCTCTGCCTTCCCCCGCCGCCTCGCTCCCCCCCAGCCGAGGGAAGAACAGCCTTGCTAGGTCACAGAGGAGGACATGGCATCCAGTCCTGAAGACACCTGATAAGCTAGGGTCAGAAGGCAGGGGAGGAGGACCTCCCATAGCAGTGGACTTGGACAGGGGCAGGGAGGAGATGAGGGAGGGGGCTACGGCTGGGATACAAAGTAAATAACCTGTGATTGAAATTTAAAAAATAAAAAGTAATAAAAAAATAATAATGATGGTTAAAGGTGAAAAAAGGAATTTATACCATAGCAGCTGAAAAAGTACATGGGCCATATATTCATGTTTTCCAATTCTACCACACCAAAATTCATTAATTCATATATAAATCACCAAACTAACTTGACAGTAAGAAAAATCACTTGCTTATTTATGAACATGAAATTCATTTTTTCATACTAATGTTCAAGACCTAAGTTAATTTTATGTAATGTCCTCAGAAAACAATGCCACAAAATTAAAGAATTACTTTCCAAGTCACATAATTAGAAGTAGGTAATCCATTATATTTTTAAAATGTGATGACAAAATGAACACTGCTTCAAAAATTAGGTAGGTGTCTATTATTTCTCAACTCTAACATATAAACAAGAACTGATCTAAGGTAACTATTAACCATGAAGGATTATGTTAAACAATAAAGATTCATTAAGATAAATGTATCTTACTTGTTCGTTAACTTTCTTTTCTTTATCCAATTCTTTTTCTATATCCTCTAATTCTCTATCTTTTTGTTCCAATTGCTTTTCAAGTTGACGAATTTCATCACGTAAAAACCGAGTATCACGTCCACCTGCAGACTGCTGAGCCATCTAAAAATCATAAGCCAAGAATTAATTCTTCCAAATATAAGTAATTCCTTTTTACTTGAAGGTTCAAATGAATCAAGAAATACATACTCCAAAGATTTTTCAGTATGCTTGAAAATCAGATATTTAAAAGTATAAGCATGTAAACATAATTAAAAAGAACTTAACGTTTTTTAGGGAGGAGGAGAGAATCCAGAACTACTTGTGGGAGGGGAGAATACGATCAGAAGGTATGTAAATTTAAAATTGTTCTGGATAATAAAAAGATAATTATAAAAACAAACCTGAACTTATTTAGGCTTTCATTTGCAAGTTATCAATACATGAGCTCACTAACATCCATCAAGAGTCGAATACAAGCTCTGTTGCTGTCACTAAGCATAGTTACAGACTAAAATGCAACTATGAAGGCTGCTCCAGAGTCTTAGACACCTAAAACTCTTTTGGTGCTCTTGTTCTTACTTTTCTCTGAAACCACAGACTAGTTAGAACAGATGATAATTTGTAATATAGCAGCCATATTTTCTGTAGTGCCCATCCTTGCTAGTGTGAAAGTCACATGTACACTTGAATTGTTTTAACAAGTATAAATGCAAAACACTATGACTGACTAGTACTATAAGAAAGCCAGGACAGGAACCCTTTAAAACTTTCCAGACATTTGATTCATTTTACTTCATATTCCTTTCAGATGGACCATGGTTGCCTCATGTGAACATTTTCCATATTTCTGGTACTTTCCTCTTACTCAAATGTTTTTCAATATTCACTGCTTCAAGAAGGTTCTCACTGTGCTATCTAAAAGCATCTTATAAGATACATATTCAAGAAGGTTCTCACTGTGCTATCTAAAAGCATCTTATAAGATACATATTCAATATCTGAGCTGCTGCTTTTAACTAAACCCTTCTTTTTTTCCTTACAAAGCTGCAAATAGGTTATTTTAGGGTCCTGATTCCCTGGGAACTTTTTCAACAGAGACTTGTTCATTTCTTTCAGGATCATGAAGAGAAGTCAGTATTTGCCTAGGTTTCCTCCACCCTGCAACCTCCAAGCCACCCATCATGTCACTCTTCTACCATCCTCGATATCTTTACATATACTGCTAGAAATGCAGTAGAAAATGTGAAATAACTCAGCCAAGTGCACAGAGTTAATCAAGTCAGTACAGTGAGGACTACAACTCTAATCTGACTCCACAGACTAGATCTTCAGTCCTTTCTCTACTATATTTCAACGTTTATCTGACTCTTAGATTTTGGCCATACTCTCTTCTATTCTTAATTCTTATAGATTATCTCATTTCCAATCTCTCAATTTCTAAGCACTAAACTCACAGGCATGTGTTCTATACATATCTCCTTTTCCCTAGTTTCTCTTTCAAAGACTAATCCTTTTGTACTACATACCTTCTTGGCTTTTGGAATCTCAGTGTATTTAGTTCCCACATCCCATCACCTCAATTACTACTAAACTTTCTATATACTTTTCTAGAGTGACAGCTCCATTCAGAAACTATTTTATTTGATGCTTAACTCTTAGAAAACACATTCTGTATAATGAGTAACCTCTTGATCACAATATTTGTGTTTTTCAAACTAGCAATAAGAAAATTTGAAAATAATTTAAGATAACACAATTAATAACAATTATACTTAAGGAAATACAAAAGGACATACCTCCAGTTCATTTTCTAGTTTCATTACTTTTGTCTTTAATTGATTTTCTATTAAAAAAAAACACAAATGTTTCAATTAGTTACATTTCCTGTAATCAGATTTTAAGTGAATTTCAATAAAAATAGCAGAATTCTCTGTAAAAGATTCCATCCTCTTATAAGAAAGTAATAATCAGATACTAAATCAAAGGACTAGGTATTCTAGAAAAGTCTTGATGGAGAGAGCAGAGGAAGACCTGAGTGGGTGAAGTCCTGAGTCAGTGTGTGCTACTGACACAGGCAAAGCCATGTCAGGAACTCCAAAGCTACAGACCTATGGCAAATGGAAAAGCCTTTCCTGGGTTAGGCTCAGAGAAATGGCCTTCCCTACGAGTCTGCGTGTGGAGGGTGACAGCCTATGCAGAAAAGGTCCACCACAGCTTTCTTCCCCCTTACGTTTATAGTCTGCTACAGATACTGCTACTGAGATTAGCTTAATCTGCCTCCTTGTTCAACTGAGTACCAGAAACCCTGCCTCGTTTATTTGTATGCAGTCACCTGACTTCACACTCAGCTATGCCATGACTCCACCTCTCAGTTCAAGGGTATATAATAAAGACACTAAGCTTCTGGGGTGCTGCAGTTTCTCCATCAGAGAGCCCAATCCACCCGAACCCAGTTTTCCTGTGTGTTTCTGTGTTTTCTTCATCACCTTTGTCATATTTGCAAAGATGCAGTATTTTTCAATATGAATTGAATATATATTTTATAGACTATGATAATTTTTGCACTGCCTAATAAATAACAAAAACACAGTAGTTTTTTTTTTTTTTCCCCAAGACATTTACCAAATTTTGCTTGTTCTTCTCCAGCCTTTTCAACTTCTTCCAAAGCTAGCTCTACTTCTTGAGCTTTCATCTACATTAAAATGAGAGGGGGGAAAGCTATATTATTTATACTCTATTATAAACAGGGAAAATACAAATTGTGTTCCATTTGCTATCTCCGTCATTAGTCTGAGACTTGCACACAGAAACATAAGACTTGCACACAGAAAGACAGTCAGTAAATATTTGTTGAATAAGTGCTCATAAATTCTATAATTTCAGGACTTTGAACCACCTCTGATTTTTCCCTTTAAACTTTTTATACATTATTTTAAATGCTTTTCATTATCTTTTTTTTCTATTGAAATTGTCATTATTCTGGTACATAATTTTATGTCAACTCCTTCTTACTACTGAAGTTAATCAGCTCCAGTCCCCTTCAATCTGTACTACACAACACATCTAATTATGCCTTCATAAGCACATTTCTGTATCTATACCAATTATGATTCAAAAACCTTTATTTGCTTCAAAACTGCTGATAACAAAAATGGACCCCCAAACACGTTGACAGTATATCACAAACTACTGACCTAAAATCTGTTTGTCTACAGCCTACAATAAATTTTCTACGTACATTTACCCTAATGAAAAACAATGAGTATATATCCTATCTCAGTATTTATTTATGAGGATCTAGAATCTTCTTACCATTTCATCATTAGTTTCTAGGGGAGAAATTCTGTGATTTTATTTGAAGCTCTGGTTATATTTCTTTATGTTATTATTAAAAATACTTTTTTTTCCTACACTTTTTTAGGATAGGAATGAGATTTGCTATGCATAGTACACCCCACACTCTTTAAATCTAAACTTAAAGAGCTCATCTTTGAGGGGTCTTAGGCATTCCAAATACTTCCATGAAGAATACTTTATATAGGAATCCATTCTTACATTTCCTTTACTGTTAGCTAAATATCTCCTGTATACAAACCTTCATTAGCGACTGAGTAATTCTGAATAGATGTATCACGTTTTCTTGATCTTCATCTTTTAGTTCATTTACTTCCACCTAATAAGGAAATTTAAAAATGCACCATTTCATACCACGTACATAAAATAAGAGCACTCATCTAGCAGTAGCATTCAAGTGTTTCAGTAACCAATTTCAATTAATCACATTATAAATATGTGTTTACAAATTATTTATTAAGCACCTTGGATAAGGAAATCAATAAATTATCTGCCAACTCTTCTTGACGTGGCAGGTCATCTGGATCAACTTTGATTAATTCTTTCCAATTTATATTAGGTGGCATCTTGAATCCTTTCACTGTCTTTCAGCTCCTACAACAAAGCAGGTGGATTTCAGCATCTTTCAAGGAAAATGGCATGGCAGTATTTACGTTATCGTTCTAACTCCCCAGGTGTTGGTAAAGAGCTATGGCTCCTGGAAAAGCAAAACAGATGCATAGACTGTAAACTGCCTTGAGAATTAGTTCGCCTGGGGGAGACTATACGACAATGTACACGCTAAATTATTATCTCTCAGCTAAGACGAAGTCGGAGCTAGGACCCGAGTCCCCTCTTCCAAGTCCCCAGCCCTCAATGATGTTACCAACTCCCAGGATGCTTGGAAGTTTGAAAACGCCCTCCGATTCTGAACGAGAGGATTTTTAAAGTGCGCAAATAAAGACCGAACTGAATGAAGCTGCGAGGGCACGGCGGACAGGACAGAAGGGCTGAGTAGGTAGGCTGTCCCTGGGGATTATGAACCTATGACCGACACTAAGCTGCTCTGGCTCACAAGGATCCACCCACCTAAACCAAGCCTTGCAACCAGCGGCAGTCATTCATCTACAGCGACCACCTCCGGGTTCGGCCATCACCCGGGGCTCCCAGTTCCCTGTGCGGTCCTCGCGCTCTCAAGCTCCCGCCAACTCTTCCTGAACACGCCAAAGCGGCGGCGGCTGCTAGGCGACACGACTCCCCGCCCAGCCAGCCAATGCCGGAACTAGGCCCCAGATGCTAGGGGCAACTACATTTCACGACCGTGTGAGGAGCTTTACGGCTCTATTTCCCCTCTGTGGCCTTATGATTATGGATGAGGAAGAAGGCGTGACACGAAAACTCCACATCCCAGAGTGCAGTTTGGCTTTGCAGCTTTGCATTCTGGGATCCGTAGTCTTCGAGAGCGCAGCGATTTCCCAGCGTGCAGTGCGCGAAGCTGCAGCCGCCCGGGAGCAGCTGGAGAAGGATCGGGAGGCGGGAGGAGCGGCGGCCGAGGTTCGGCAGCCCCGGAGCCCGAGCGTGGCGGACTATGACAGTGTTTTCTGCAGCGTTCTCCTCCGGTCCACTGTCCTAGAGGCTTCCCTGAACCATCCCCTAGAGGACCCGCCCTCAGGTGAGGTCGGGGGTGGGGGTAGGGGGTCAGGCAGCGGCCGGGAGGAGCTCGGGGAGCACGTACGTTTTAAGGGAGCGCGGGGCTGAAGGGCCAGCGGGTCTTGCAAAGGTGGAGTAGACTCCTCCCACTGCTCAGGTTTGTTCTGGGACTCCCAGTTAGTGACTTCAGTGAGAAGAGACTAAGCAAAAGTTTCCAGCTTCCTTATTATCTGGCAAAGTGGAGCGCCATCCCCAACACACACACACCCATGTTTCATGGTCAGGGTTGAGTGAAGCATCAAGGTGGGTCTCTGGCCCCCTGCAGCAGCTTGTGGATTGCAGTGATTAATAGGTCTCAACCTATTAAGTGTGGAGTGAAGGCCGAGAAAAGGGGAGGCGAGTGCGTGTCTAGACCTGCAGGAGAGTCAGAAGGCCGTGCCAAGCTCAGGCATTTTTGCTGTCATTTGCTGGGTACCAAGGGGCTCCTCAGTGAAAGCGCCTTCTCGTGTGCTTAACGTTTTATACGGGCAACTTTTGCCCATTCCTAAGTTACCTTTGGTAACTGTAGGCTTCTGTTTGAAACTGTGTCTCATTTGTATGTATGTGATATATATGCATATATACGATATATATATTTATATATATATATATATATATATAAAGCAATCTATAGAAAAACTATTTAAAGTTTCCTTTTGAAAAGATTTCTGTACTGTGTGGTCGAGAAAAACAAGAAATAATTAAAATATATTGGTATTTGAAACAAATTTTAAAGACATCAGATTTGTAAGACTGATTATCGTGTCTGCTTTTTCCAAATACTGGTCAACTTGTGAATTATTCTAGGTAGAGGTACAACAAAATGAATGCTTACATTGTCCTTATTCTCCATTTAAGAGGTTGGAGCTTGGAGAGCCTAAAGACTGTCTCTCATTTAGTGTGGTGCACACATCATTCAGGCACTCCAGAAACTAGTATTTTTGAAATGGACACTTCAGTCTTAACTGTTTTAAATTTTAATATTTATTTTTATTGTATTTTATACATTTTAATTTTATAACTTCATTTACTCAAAAATATGAATTATTTGTCATGTTCATTTTGTCAAAAAATACTAAGACGTGAAACCAGTATTTATTGAACACATGTAGTAATATGTTCACTGGTATACTATATTAAGAATTTGTGGGTGGTGGTGACACCTTTAATCCCAGCTCTTGGGAGACAAAGGCAGGTGGATCTCTGTGGGTTTGGGTGCGAGGGCAGCCTAGTCTACAGAGGGAGCTCCAGGACAGCTGAGGCTATAAAGAGAAATCCTGTCTCGAACCCCACTGCCCCCCACAAAAAAATGTTTTTAATCCCAGCACCTTGTTATTTTCTCTTGATCTTTATTACACACTTTTATTTCTTACTCATTTACTAGTGTTCTTTTTGCTGTTTTTCTACCCGTTTTCTTTCTTGTTTATATTTGTAATATCTTTGAGAGTTCATAGTCTGCTAATAAATTTTATTCTTTTCAGACATGAGAATAAGTTAAGAGAAGTAGTTAACTAATGCCTGACAAAGCTGCAATTGTAGATCTCAGTGACAATCATAACTAACATGTAATCTTTTTCTAAAGTTTCATTCTCTAATTTATCTTAACAGCATTTTTGAGCTAATGCGGTATGATTGACAGTGCAAAACAGTATTTTGTGAGCTAGGTTTTTATGTATTGTACTTAACTGTGAATCAGAACATTTAACTGAGATTGTTTCTGCAACTTGCTATGTAATTTTAAAATGGCTAAGATAGTTTTTCACTGGAGTTTCTTCATTTTTCAAATCTTTCCAAGAGCCAGCTTTATGTGACAGTTCTGTAAATTGCCTTGTTGCAGGAGAACCTGCCTGGACTTGTGTTTCAAATAACCTGGGCCTGTGTGGACAGTTTTATCTAACCAAAATCATCTTGCAAGAAAACCTTGCCTTTCGTAATTGTTGCCTCAGCTCTCTGGACTTAAATTCATTACCTGTCTTTTGCTGACTTCTCAAGAAACTTGCTCTAGTTTCTAAAATAATCCATTGCCATAATTAATTTATTAAACAATGTATAGTAGAGGTGTTTTTCAAGATTTTTTTTTCCCAGAAGGAACATCATGTTCAGGGAGAGGAATGCATGTGCAAGCAGGTACTTGTCTCTCCTTAGCATGAGGAGGCTAAAAGGAAAAGTATTATTCCATGTAAATACAGATTTGCATACAAAAGGTCTGTAGAACTTAAAGATGGTAATGAATAGAGGAGGCTGTAGAGAAGGTCTGAATGACTATGTTCATTTCCCAGGAAACAGAACCGGAAGGACTTCCCTTGGCTCATATTCCCCAGAGTCATTTTTGTCTTACAGCTTTGTCATTACACAGGTTACTCAGATTATTAACCTGAGAAACAATATAATTTTGTTGATGTAATTGAAGTTATATCTATAATCATGAATAACTTTTGATTACAGTTGGATTTTGTGTATGTATATGCTAAGATCTCCCCACCCCTTCTTTTCTTTTTCTTTCTTTTTTTTTTTTTTTCTGTAAGCAAGCAAGTTGGGCATCCCATTTGCTTATGCTACATGCATGTGTATGTATGCTAATGCCTCCAGTGAATTTTCCCTAGTAGGAAATACTGTGTGGGCACTTTTTCACCAACTCTACCCTGCAGGAGACCTTGAATAAAGCCATAGCTGCATGCAGAACCTGTACTACCTTTCATAGTATACACCTTTGTGAAGTCTTTATACCCTCTTAGCTAGCCCCTGCATTTATTCTGGGTACCACTTCATCATTTTGTTTGTTTGTTTGTTTTACACAAAGGGGAAGATAGAAATAATGGTGCATCACTATAATCCCAGACAGGAATCTGAAGCAGAAGGGCCCTGAGTTAAATAGACTTGGTAGACTTGGCTTTATAATAAGATCTTTTAACACACAAACAAAACATATTATATGATAACTACACACTCTATTATTGTACTACTTTCCATGACCTTGGGGGATTTTGTTCTTCAGAGAACCCACAAACAGCCATGAGAGTCTGAATATAGTGATCAAGTAAGCAGCTTTTGTTCTTGTCTCTTTATTCCTTCTTAACATTAGCGTTAGCAACAAAACAGCAGTGTGTGTATTTAGCAAGTATATGAGGTACTGTATCTATATGAAGGGGGACAGATTATATCCCTCATATTTGCAGTGAGCCTAAGCCTAGGGAAGAGGACAATTCAAAATCAAGTTCAGAGTTTTGATGATCACTTTACAACTGAGCATTATAATTACCAAATTGACCTTCTGTAGCTTAAAAAGTGCCGTAATTTTTAAATCTGACTGGATCTATTTGACTTTATTAAACTAACACAGTAGTCTTTAATATTTAGAACCTAAAATTTTTACTTTGTTTATCATAAAAGGTCGTTTAAAAAAAAACTACCAACTCACAAGGACTAAGCTTTTTAATCCACAAAATTTAAAACTTACAGATAGTCTTTCTTGGAGCCTACCCTACTCTTAGGAGTTCTTTCTCACTTTTTCTGAATAAATCTGTTTTCTAAAAGAAAAAAATAAAAGAAAAGTACATGAATGTGGAAACTGGATTTATTGGGAGGGGAAATAGCTAAGAGGGCTGGAAGGGAGGTAGAGTGAAGATCAGAGTAATTAAAATGTATACAGGAAAGTGGAAGACAACAAAATTAACAAAAGGCACCCATAAAAAGAAAAACCCTGGTTAAATAATTTAAAACTGCATTTATAATTTGAATATATTCATCTTTAATAAGTACTTAAATGAGAGGGCTATTTTAAATCAAACATTGGCAATATAATTATATGTCATTTAAGGATGGAGATGTATTCCTAAAAGTGTATCATTAAACCAATGTCATTATGTGATCATTCTGGAATGTATTTACACAGACTATAATAGCTAACTCAATAGGCTATTTAATCCCAAAGGTTATTCTGTTGATTGTAATGCTATGTGTTGTATGGAAACCTCACTAATTTTCATAGAGCAAGTAAATTAAACTCAAAACTAGCAACTCTCAGGTTTTTATAATTCAAAAAATTAGTTAACTTAATATATTATATTGCACATTATCACGAATACTCAATTTTAAGTTATAGTAGGAAACTTTCATATCAATTTCCAATATTCCAGATTATTTTCTATTACTTAGATGTTTGTGTTATTAAAGCCTTTAACCAAAGGCTTTTTATGAGAGAGGTTTTCAACGTTATATAACACCTTTTTTTGACCTACCTCATAATGAATACCTGAATTGCTTTCCTGATTTACAAGTTGTTTGCGTGTAGATAAGTGTCTATATACAATTTACATAGCACTGGTTCTTCATTGCACTTTGTTTAAATGGATTGGGTATTATATCTTCTTAGCATCATTATTCAAAAACTTTCTGACATGCTATGGTTGGCATTTTGTGTATTTCATTTGTCACTGCTTTATACTGTTTTCTAACTTTGGTAAAAAATGTCTCTCAGAGCTTTGTGTGCTGAATAAGTATAGTATTCGGAGGAACAGCTTTTCAGAAGTTGTTGGATCATGAGTTCAATAACATAAGCTATCTGTTCATAAAGGAGTAGCCTGTTGAGAGATAGTGAAAATCGCTGGGTGGAGCCTGATAGGAGATTTAGGTCTTCAATAGTATGTATTTGCATTTGAAGAATTTGACCTGCCCCTTCATCCATTCTTTGTCTCCCTCTTCTCTGTTCTTTCCTGACATCAGCTTAGCAACTTTCTTCACTGATGCCTTTTAGCCATGCTGTCCTCCCATGCCACAGGGCTAATGCAGTGAAACTAGATGTGCATTCAATGAACATTCTGAAACTATGAGCTAAGCAAAGCCTTTTTCCCTCTAGTTGTATTCTTAGATGTTTGACTACCACATACTATATTCTCTTCTCCAATTTCCCTATGTGTTTACTATTACTAATTGGCTGACAGTGATAAACATCTTAAAACTTTTAAAAACTTTAAAACTTTTACATTCTGCTTTTCCATGAAAGTAATTTACGTTTATGAGTGAAGAATTTTACTTTGGAAATCATTTTCTCATAGAAATTTGAAGCACTGATCCTTTTTGTGTTTTTTGGAGTATTTATTCTAAATTGCATCATTATTGAAAAAAAAAATTTGAATCCTGGTTTGTGGTATGAAACCTGTTTTATATTTATAAGCCTTTAGAATCCTCTCTGTTTCCAATGTTGTAAAATTGGAGAAAACAATCCACCCCATTAGAGAAGAGAGCTGGAGGGTCTCAGCATAATGTAGACAAACTTCTTTAACCCTCACTTACAATATGACATTTTCTTGTCACTGTGTAGCCTATGTAAGAGACCTTGTGTCTTACTACTGTAGAAAAGAACTCTCCAGCCTTTGCTTAGAAGTAGGAGGAGTGGGAGAGGGGTCAGACTTGAACCAGTTCATCAGTTCCTCGTCTTGTTTCCTAAAATCTTTATAATCAGCTGTTGGAAGGGGTGCTTCAGCTTCTCTTTCAGCTTAGAAACCACTTTCCAGTGACCCATTTAGTGACTTACTAATCAATCCTTTCACTCTTCCAGCTTCCAGAATTTGGTATGGCCTCTACAGTAGTCCTTATACTTATATCTTTCCCCAAATAAAAGTAGACCATATTCTGTTGTCCAGTTTGGCAAGAAGTGAAGAAAATGTTAGTTGAATTCATTCTTTTATTTGAACCACTGTCAGCCTTTTTTTTTTTTTTTTTGGCGTGTGAGGGGAGTGTCAACTAACTGGACCATACAATTCCATACCCTTCAGAGATGAGAACTCACTCCTCGTGTCAAGATGAAGCTTTAAATAATTTTTCTTTTACTTGAAAATTTTTTCCTAAAGGGTGCAGCTATGTCCCTTCTGCTTTATTGTTTGGAATTTTGTTTTCTTTCAGTGTAATGCATTTTATGATTATAGAAATACTTCTGTGTTTTCACATATTGCATATCTCATATTTAGTTGAAATATATCCCTTAGACTCTATATTGAATTTTAAATCTGTACCCATGTTAGCTATTTGATTGCTAACTGAGATTTTTATTTTCTTTCTCATTCCTTTCTCATGTGGTCAGAAGGAGATAAGTAAGTCAGATCTCTGACTCTGAATCACTGCTTTAACAACATGCCACAAACATAGTAGATTGAGTGAAATTTATCTTCTTACCAATTTGAAAATCAAAAATGCAGAATGATTTCTAACTAGATAAAATCAGTGTCAGTAGTTGTTTTAGACTCACTAATAAAGAATCCGGATTTATTTATTCATCCCTTTCCCAACATAGCAGGCAGAAATCATATCCTTCACGCCTTCAGTTTGTCTGCCTCTTTCTTTCACTCCTAAGGACTTTGCTGTTGTATTGGGCCTACTCAGGTGATTTTTCTAGTAAAGCCTTCATACCTTTAAAGTCACTTGTTATCTAAACACCATATTCAGAAATTTGGTATTTTGGATATTAACAGCTATCATGAACTATTAATCTGCATTTTTAAAGTGATAATGTCATAACTCAGTGATCTAGTGATACTGCCCAGAACAGAAAATGGCCAGCTTAGTTTAGTTTTGTTTTATAAAATTTTTCTGTCTGTTCTGTGGCTGATTTTCTTTCTCTGTATTTTCCAGTTATTAGAGCTCTTTCTTTGCACCATTACCCTAACTTGGTATTTCCTAAAGCAGTACCTCTTGTGTTGTATTCTTACTCAGTTAAGGATTATTGTCTATGACGCTTAGATTCTAAACTAAAAGCCTTCAGTGTAGTAGGCAAAAGAAAAATGATTTACATCCAGGTCATAAATTCATATATCCAAAAGGCCAAATTGGGGCTGGAGAGACAGCCCAGAGGTTAAGAGCACTGGCTGCTCTTCCAGAGGACCTGAGTTCAATCCCCAGAAACCACATGGTGGCTCACAACAATCTAGAATGTGATCGGATGCCCTCTTCTACCATGCAAGTGTACGTAAAATAAATAAGTAGCTAAAAAAAAGAAAAACTAAAACAAAAGGTCAAATCACATAAATAAGATAGTAAGAAATATTGGGATTTCGTAATTGCCAGTATACACCCAGACTGAAAGAACTCAAGAAATAGTTTTACAACATTTTTGACAAAACTAAACAAACCTACAGAAGCTCTGATTTAGATTGGGTTTTTTTTTTTTTTTTTTGACGTATTATTGTTCTTTTATTTTTTATTTTTAATTAAAATACATTTTCTTTTCTTCCATTTATACCCTCCAACCTTCTGTGTCCTCTCACTCTAACCCTTTTCATGTTCTCCTTTACTCCTCTCATAAGCATGGCCTCTGTCTTTGATTGTTATTTTTTCAATCTTTTTCCTAACTGCTGCAATTGCTAATGCTATCTCTTTATATTTTTTTTTTCTTAGCAAATGCATAGAGTAGGAAAATAGTTCAGTAATAGAGTCCTTGCTTATTATGTGGTAGGCCTAGTACCACCACAAAGTAAAACAAAACCCATAACCACAATAGTGACGAATCCCTTTATACAGGTGAGTACATGTTCTCTTCAGTCACCTCATTTCTTCTATGAAGTCATCTTTTTTTTTTCCTGAGATTTCACTTTACACCCATCAGAATGGCTAAGATTAAAACTTCAAGTGACAACACAGCTGAGGTTGTGTTGAGAAAGGTTGTGGAGAAAGGGGAACCCTCCTTCTTTGCTGATGGGAATGTAAACTTGTACAACCACTTTGGCAATCAATCTGGCACTTTCTCAGACAATTAAGAATAGCACTTCCTCAAGATCCAGCTATAATACTCCTAGACATATATCCAAAAGATGCTCAAGTACACAACAAGGACATTTGCTCAACCATGTTCGTAGCAGCTTTATTCGTAATAGCCAGAACTTGGAAACAACCCAGATGTCCATCAACGGAGGAGTGGATACAGAAATTGTGGTACTTTTACACAATGGAATACTACTCAACAATTAAAAACAAGAAAATCATGAAATTTGCAGGCAAATCGTGAGACCTAAGAAAGATCATTCTGAGTGAGGTATACCAAAAGCAGAAAGACACACATGGTATATACTCTCTTATATAGACCTATAAGATAGGATAAACATACTAAAATCTGTACACCTAAAGAAGCTAAACAAGAAGGAGGACCCAGGGTAAGATGATAAATCCTCACTTAGACAAATGGGATGGACAGTGGAAGTAGGAGAAAACGAAAAGCAGGATAGGAGCCTATCACAGAGGGCCTCTGAAAGACTCTATCTAGCAGTGTATCAAAGCAGATGCTGAGACTCATGGCCAAACTTTGGGCAGAGTGCAGGGAATCATATGAAAGAGAGAGAGTTAGTAAGACCTGGAGAAGACAGGAGCTCCACAAGGACCAAATATATCTGAGCACAGGGGCTTGTCTGAGACTGATTCTCCAACCAAGGACCATACATGGATATAACCTAGAACCCCTGCATGGACGTAGCCCATGGCAGCTCAGTATCCAAATGGGTACCCTAGTAAGGGGAACAGGGACTATCTCTGGCATGAACTCTGTGGCTAGCTCTTTGACCTCCCCATCCCCTGTGGAAGGAGCAGCCTAGCTAGGCCACAGAAGAGGACATTGCAGCTAGTACTGATAAGACCTGATAAACTAGGGTCAGAGGGAAGAGTAAGAGGATCTTCCCTATCAGTGGACTTTGAGAGAGACAGGGAGGAGATAAGGGGGGGGGGGGGGGGTTGGAAGGGAATGAGGGAATGGGCTACAGCTGGGATACAAAGTAAATAAGCTGTAATTAATATAAAAAATTTAATTTAAAAAATATTGTTTTTTTTAAATATATAAAGTATTGAAATAAGAGATCCATTAGCCTTGGAAATCTCATGCTCAGTGTTAGTTTCTTCTACAAGATGCATCGTGTGTCTGCTTCTCAGTGAGCCTAACCAGTGACAGTTGATGGGATTTATACTATCTAGTTAGCAAGACACATGTACAAAGATTAAGTATATAAAAAAATAATAATTTGCTTTAGGAATATGGAATTAATCAGTGAATTCTTCTTTAAAAGTAGGTGGTATTTAAGCTGATGCTTTCTCTGGAAGCATTAATGCGTGGTTTTTATTCTAAATATTATTTAACACTAAACTTGTAATTATTTAGAAGAAAATATTGGTTATTCAATTTTTATCTTGCATGTTTTTCCAGCTTGGCTTATCAATGCTCGAAGGAGAGATGGCTGATATTAACTTCAAAGAAGTGACTTTAATAGTCAGTGTGGTTGCTGCTTGCTACTGGAACAGTCTGTTCTGTGGGTTTGTATTTGATGATGTTTCAGCAATATTGGATAATAAAGACCTGCATCCATCTACGCCTCTAAAAACTTTATTTCAGAATGACTTCTGGGGAACTCCTATGTCTGAGGTAAAAAATTACTTTTTTTATATAAAACGTAGGTTATAATAAAAATTAAACAAGCTATAGGTATAATTTATTTACCACTAAAAAACAAATGTAGCTTAATACTCATCACTTAAGTCAACATATTTAAATAGATATTTAATTGCTAGCTAACAAGTTTTTGGGTTTTTTTGTTTGTTTGTTTTTCTGAGGACAAGATTTCTCTGTGTAGCCTTGGCTATCTTGAAACTTGCTCTGTAGACCAGGCTGGCCTCAAACTCACAAAGATTCACCTGTCTCTACCTCCCCAAGTGCTGGGATTACAGTTTTTCGCCACCAGTACTTTAATGATAGCCAACACAACCTCAAGTGAATTCTTGGTCATTCATTATAGGGGGAATACAAATATTGAGAGCTTTAAAAAACTCAATTTCCAGATTTTTTTCATATGTTTGAAAAAAATAATTACTTTTCCCTTAAAAACGAATGCAGCTTTGAATGTGTATGTGTCCTACAATTCCCTCATCTTAAAACCAGAATTTGTTTCATTGGCAATGTACCTTGACTGACTTTCCTGAAAATAATATTTATATGTAGGAATATCTATGTGAAGGGAGGGCAACAAGTCTCCTTCTTGGTATTTTTCTTTTCTGCGAATCAGGCAACAAAATTGACTTAAGTTTAATGATTTAAGTTAAATTTAAATAAAATTTAATGATTAAAACCTGGTAAATTCAATATAAGTAGGGTAGATTTTAAAGATAAGTACATATTGCCTACTTCTCAATAAGTACATATTGCAGTAAGAAAATGTTTACTTAAAATTATTTTGAAGGTCAGTGTTAACTTAACTTATGATTAAACCCTTTCAGCTTGGGTCATAGAGCCTGGATTCTATGTTATAATTAGCTATGTGGAATAAACTACAGCTTTTAGTGGTAAAACATTTCCCTGACATTTAAAATTGAATGATACCTTGAGGATAAATAAATGAATGCATTTATCTACAGTGCCCGTCAAGCCACTTTTGAGTAAACTTTTGAAATTTAGTATGTAATACTCGGCCCAGCCTGTTTCTCGGTCATCATTTGTGACATGCCCCCATTCCCCCAATCTAAAAGCTTTTCATGCTTCAATCTGTCTAATGATAAGCACAGTTGTTTTGTTTGTGTAACTCTGATTATCTTTGATTATCTTTATAATCAAAGTAATGACTACTTTTTGTAGCCAGAAGATCCAAGGTATTTTAATAATCACTGGTTGTTTTTCCTTCTAGGAGAGAAGCCACAAGTCATACAGGCCCTTAACAGTATTGACATTTCGTTTAAACTATCTACTTAGTGAACTCAAACCGATGTCCTATCATCTCCTGAATACAGTTTTCCATGCCATTGTTAGTGTGATATTTCTTAAAGTCTGCACACTTTTTCTGGACAAGAGGAGCAGTGTGATTGCTGCTCTGCTTTTTGCAGTGCACCCAATCCATACAGAAGCAGTAAGTAAAACCGTACAACGATTTTTAAATCTTAAGCATTTAAGTACTTCTGATTTAGTACACTCTTACTATTTCCCATGCACAAAGTCCATCTTACCTTTTTATAAAAATTTTTAATTTAAAATAGTTTCTGAAAAAAAATGTTCATTCATGAATGTGTGTATAAAGTGATTACCCCACCAGCATTCACACTTGAATTTATATCCCCTACGCCCATGTGAAAAGCCAAGTATGGTAGCAGACACCTGTAATCCCACAGTGGGGAAATGAAGTCAGTAGGATCTCTTGCTTGATCTACTTGATACCTGAGTTTTGGGTTTATTGAGAAAACCTTTCTCCAAAAGCAATGTAGAGGGGCTGGAAAGATGGTTCATAGTTTAACAGCAGTTGCTGCTTTTGCAGCAAATCCAGGTTCGGTTCTCACCAGCCACATGGCAGTTTAAACCTTCAGTAATTCCAGTTCAGAATATGTAGCACCCTCCTTTGGCCACTTCAAGAACTAGGCATAAACAGTGCAGTTTATACATGTGCACATTTGTACACATAAAATAAAAATAAATCTTTAAAGAAAAGAAACTGCAGAGTAATGGAAGAAGACATCCAACATTGACCTCTGACAGCAGACTTGTGCTCTTGTGCACACATGTGCTGATGAGCTACACAGAGAAAACCTATATATATATATATATATTGATTTCATGTATATTGTGTATAACATCTCTTACTGTCATTATGTTATTATTGAAAACACAAACATAGTTCTTCCTATGAAGATATATATATATATATATATATACACAAACCAATTTTTTCTTGGACACATTGACACTCTAAAAATGCCTTCCATGGGAGAACTAAAAATACTGTATTTAATTGCTTTCTTAAAAGCCTCCTAAGCATAAATGTTTGTATTTTGCAGAATGACTATATCTCTCTTGCTGTTCTGGAATCGTGATATCCAGCCATGTTTTTCCAATTATGTATAAAAGAGATAAATTGCTTCAAGTTCTATATTCTGTTACATTGCTTTATAAGTCAAGCTTTGGGAATTTTGTATTCTTTTAATTAAAATAGCTTTTGAAATATCTTCTTTAGTTTGTAGATCAGCAAATTTATAGCTTCATATTTTTAAAAAATACCCATGTCAAGAAAATAATGTAGGGATACTTAGTTTTATAAAGAAATAATCTAGCTATTATAATTACATAAGATGTTATAATTATATAAAAGTTGGTAATATTGTTATTATCACAGATGAATATGAACATATGAGATAAATATATGAAAGTAATTAATATTGTTGCAAAGTTTAATGACCTGTTCGCAATAATCACTGATAGATTTTCTTTTATGATCGATACCTAAGTTCACCACATGAGGGTGCTAATATGTTAAAAAACAAAATCCACCCCTGAAAAATTTGGGTTTTAGGTTTTAAACTGTTATTATTACCCGTAATATGTTTTCAGACTACAATATAATGACCTGTTCTTTCATTTTCTAGGTAACAGGTGTTGTAGGAAGAGCTGAACTCTTGTCATCTGTCTTTTTTCTAGCTGCATTTTTGTCATATACTAAATCAAAAGGACCAGATAATTCCATAGGTAAATATCTACCTAACTTTCTTTTACTGTAGTTATGAAACTTGGTCAAATAAGTCTATTGTTTTAAGTGTTTCTTAATTAAGATAACACTTGGGGTTTACTTTTATTGTTCTGCTTTAGCATGTAACTGACATCTTAACAATGTCAGTACTTTTTTTAAAAGTTACGTAATGTTTAAAAGTTATATAATCTCACTGCTCAGGAGATTCTGTTGTCTATAATCAAATTTTATATGATCAAATAGCCTTAAATCTAAGTTTCAAAGTCAGTGTTTCATTTATTATCTTCTATACAACAAAATGCAATTACCAGTTCTTCAATGTGTGTGTGTGTGTGTGTATGTGTGTGTGTGCGTGTGTTATAGGCACACACTTGTGACTGTAAAGAAAACCTCTAGTATTGTTCCTCACTTTCTACCCTGAGACTTGTTCACTACTGTAGCTAGGCCAAGAGCTTCTGGGAACTTTGCTGTCTCTCTCCACTTTGCTGTAGTAGCAAAGGGATTGCATCTGTGCAGCCCTGCCTGACGTTAGGTGGATTCCAAGGATTTCCGCTGAGGCCCTCTTGCTGTGCAGCAAGTGCGTTACCCTCTCAGCCATTGCCTAGCCCTTCAGCTGGCTTTGATGAGCAATCGCTAGTGGCCCGTGGTGCTGCTTCGGTAACATTCGAAGCTTGCTAGAATTTAACATTGATTATGTCTCATCATAGTTAAATAGCTATTGTCTACCATATACCTTACTCTAAAATTGATCTTATACATTAGTATACCTTTTTTCCCTCAAGAGTACGGGGGCAGTGGACAGAAAGAAAGGCTTTGTATTTGGTCTTAACCTATACATGGTTAATGTGAAACTCCCAAGTGTTTTCCTGCTTTCTTTTGGTAGTAGCTTCTTAGTGTGGAATACTGAGGTCCTGTTCATATGAATATTTTATATCTCTAATTGAACTAACGGGAACTGGAAATACAGCTTAGCTGGGTAAAGTACTTACTGAGCATTTTCAGGTCCCTGAGTTTGGTCCCCTGCATCGCATAAAACTGAACACAGTGGCATACACCTGCAATCCTAGAATGTGGGAGGTGGAGGCAAGACCAGAAGTTCAAGGTCATCCTGAGTTTGATGGTGTAGTGAGTTGGAGGCCAACATGGCTACATGACATCCTGTCTCAAAAAAAAAAAAAAAAGAAAAGAAAGAAATTAACACATAAAACATTTATAAAGTACAAAATGATAGAGCAATGCATGTATTCATAAAGTAATACAATTAAAGATATCTGTCTTCTCAAATATAACTACTTTGTGGAAAGTTTTCAAAATTCCTTATATATTTTTAAAACATAGTACACAGTTATTATGAATACCTACCCTACTAGATAGGATCACATCCAAACACTTACTGCTGTCTAGCTGTAACATGGTACTTAATCAACCATCCTCCATCCTTTGTTTCCTTCCTCATTCCCAGACTCTCGAGAGACCATCACTATATTCAGAACTTCTAAGAAACCAGCTGTTTTAGATTCCTCATATAACGAAGATGTAACATTTGGCCATGTAGTGATTTCCACTTTCATCTATATTCTTAAAATTTTAAGGTTTAATTTGTATATTTAAATAGTGTTTGATTGTTTATGTAAACATTTTCTTTACACCTCACCAGGTGACACTAGACTTACACAGTTCCTTTGCTGTTGTGAGTGGTGACAGAGTAAACAGGTGAATGTACTATCTCCTGGACATACTGGTTCCATTTCCTGTTAGTCAGGAGTAGAGTTGCTGAGTTAAAATGGTAATCCTGTTACTAAGCTTTAAAGAACTTGTATACCGTTTTCATTACATTCTACTACCAACTCTAGAAGTGATCCCTTTCTTCTATGTTCTTGCTAGTACATACATAATTTCAGATATTTGTCTTCACTTCTGGGTGATTGTTCAATATTTAACATGTTTGGCCCCATTAATTTATCCAAATTTACCTTTATTTTAAAAGTTAGTATTAGCATAGATAGTTTTATCTTCATAAAATTCTGTAGTTTAAATTATGCACCTTGATATTTTGCTTTGACAATATAGTATAAAAATCATAAAATATTAGGTATTGCTCAGCAAGAAATAAGAAAAACATCATTTCAAGAATACTTAAAGTATACTTTTGATACATTATAAAATTGTGTATAGATTTATTTTTTCTATTCTTAAATTGTAGTGTGGACCCCGATTGCATTGACAGTGCTTTTAGTGGCTGTAGCAACATTGTGTAAAGAACAAGGAATAACAGTTGTCGGGATTTGTTGTATATATGAAGTATTTGTGGCCCAGGGGGTAAGGAAAAATGCAAATTTCCATTTCTCTTTTGTCATAGCTAAGATATTTTAATAACCTTATGCTCTACGTAAATGTCATACATGTAGACTTATATAACAGATAAGTCTAAACTCTCTGCTTATATAAAACACTCTGCTTTTTATAATGAAAGCAAAATGTATAGGAAACAAGTGGATATTGTTCTCTCACCCACCAAAAAGTAATAAAAATGTTGTGACACCTTCGTGTTTTAAGGACTAGAATCTTTAGATGGTTTGTGGAAGTTCCAGTGATACCCTTAACAGTCCAGCTCAGTATTTGCCATAGTTATTAAGATTGGCTTCGTTCTTTATCAGTTCCACAAATTGTGCTACATTATTTTACAGTTATTCTTTCTTTCTTTCTAATTGTATGTTTAGAACTACTGCATTACCATAAATGTGTACTGGTATTTGTTACTAACTCTGTTTTTTTTTTTCTCTTTTAGTATACTTTGCCATTATTATGTACAATTGCTGGACAGTTTCTCCGTGGAAAGGGTAGTATTCCCTTTCCAATGCTGCAGACGTTAATAAAACTCATTGTCTTGATGTTCAGTACATTATTACTTGTCGTGATTAGAGTACAAGTTATCCAGTCCCAACTTCCAGTGTTTACAAGGTATGAAAATCTTCCTTTTAGCTTTCTCTGTTCTGTTTTTTACTTAAGATTTTCTTTTTTTTTTTGCCACTTTTTTAAAATTTATTTTTTTTAAATTACTGTTAATTCACTTTGTATCCCAGCTGTAGCTCCCTCCCCCTTTCTCTCCTAATTCTACCCTCTCTCCCTCAGTCATCATGTTTCAGAAGGTCGTTAGTTTATATGTAATTTTTCAACAACTTTGCTGGCATATCAGTACATTTTAAAAGCTACATACATATGCTGATTATAAATAAGCATATGAATTATGTCTAGTACATAAGTTTACAGTTATGCCTGAATCCTCCACAGCAAAGATCAAACTAGGGTCGTCTTCATATTCTCTTGTGTCTGCTTTATCAAGTAATACTGAAAGAGAAATGTTCAAGCCTCTGGCTAGACTTGTAAATCTGTCTGTTTCTTCTTACAGTTCTGGTAGTTTTTAATTCATGTGTTTTTGAAGCTCTGTTATTAAACATTTAAGACTGTTGTGTCATCTTGATGGATTAATCTCTATTGCTGTAAAATGGTCTTTTTAAAATCCCTAGTAATTATTTGCTCAGAAATTAACTGTTTTCTATTAGTAGTATGTCCAGCTATCTTTTTTGGTGTGACATAATATAAATATTTCTCTATTTTATTGTTTACCTACCTCTCTGTCTTAATGAAGAGGGTTTCATCTTTTCTAGATCCTCTAAATTAGGTGTTTTACCCATTCACTTTTAATACAATAATTGGTATATATGATATAAATCTACAGTATTATGATTTTTTCTTTGTCCTACCTATTCTCTATGTCTGTGTTCTAAAGAACCCACCTATGTGCAAGTTGCATATGGTTTTTGGGGTATATATTTTTGCTTGGAATGGTTATCTTTGGAAGAATTTAAAATACATTTTCATATTAAGTTATGGAATTATTTTTAGTGCTTTTTATTCCATTATTATATCAATGTTTTCATATTGTGCCGTATTATTTTTCCATAAAGTATTTTTTGACAGGTTCTAGTCTATCACCAACGAATTTCTTCAGTGTTTATTTCTAAAAATATCTTTATTTTACTTGTGCTTTTGAAAAAATACTTTTTCTAAGTAGAAAATATTATCTCAGCTGCTTTAAAGTTGCTTTATTATCATCAGACATGCAGTGCTTTTATAGGCTGTCTCATAATTTTAAGAATTAATATATTATTTTGGTTTTAGCTATGCTCTGCAGCACAAATGTGCATGAGACATGCCTTTCTTATGTTTCCCATATTTCTGCATGTTTTGTGTTTCGTAGTGTCTGATTGTACATTCTATTGTGTATGGGTTTGTTTTTTTTTTGTTGTTGTTTTTGTTTTGCTGTAAATTTTCTTGTCATGTGTTATACTTATTCTCCAATTTCTGCATGGATCCAAAGCATTAAGAATACTTTGATCTATTCCCACAGATATTCTTGAAGTTTGTTCTGGGTTATATTACTGTTACTTAAAGTTGTGTTCTCTTTTCATTTTTGCCTTTAAATTTTATTTGTGGAACCACAGTGAGCCCTAAAAAAATAATTATTTTGTTTTACAAGACCTTTCTGCCAACTCTATTATAGAACTAAACTATTAAAATTTCTACCCAACTGCCATGAAGCTATCCGCCAGACATAGCTTTTTCTCACTCTTTTGTGGTTAAAATGAAATTTATAATATTCCCCTACAAATTTTAAGAAACTGGGATTATGTGAAATAATTGATGGGAAAATTTTTAAAGAAAAATAAAACCACCAACATAGTGACTTTGTCATCCATAATACTGTTACAAGTTCTAGCTGGAAAAAAACATTATTCAGATTCATAATGCACTATAATCATGAATTAGAAAAAAAATTCAGATCATTATCTAAGATTAAACAATTGTTGTATTTTCCTGTAATCATTCTCTGCATTTTGTTTTAAATTTAATAAATAATTTCACTTTCTCTTTTACATGAATCTGTTCTCACTCAGCTAAATTCATTTATGTTAAAAATAGCTTGAATTACATTTTCCTTCCTCTTAGTTTCAAAGCTTTGTTCTGTTTATCATTATGAAAAATTCTGTGTACATGTGTTATGTGAGTGTGTGTTTGGTGTGTATTACATATAAATGAATTTTTCAGAATAAAAGCTTTTTAAAATATTAATGTAAATTAGATTTTATTATACTACCCTGAGAAATTGATTTTAATATGCTTTTGTTTCTGTAAGCATTAATTTTTAAATCAAGTATTCTAATTAAGCTGTTAATTTTAAAAATGAACAGTGTTTCCTCTAAACAGAAAGAACTTCAAGTTCAGGTCTGCTTTTCTTAGAGTTCAAGCTCTGACTCTAAAGACATGTCACTTTCCATATATAATCAACTGTAAAAGTTCTGAATGATAGTGTGTGTTCAAGCAATATGACTTTTTCTAAACCATTTGATACTTTTCAAAATAAATCAAGTCAAACAGAATAGAGTTTGGTGCTTAATTCACTTATTCATTTTATAACAACTAACTGCATTCTTAAGGACCTTATGTAAATCTAGTCATTTCTTTTAGTATTTCTTTTAGGATTAAAACGAAATATTTAAATATACTCCTTTGTAATATCCTCATTTTTCAATATTTGACTTAATTTGCTGAAAAGTAGACTTAGTAATTAAATCTATAATATATCATAATTTGGAGAAAACTAAATATGAAATGTTAGTATTTACTAAGAGAAAAACGAGGACACAAAATGCCGAGTGTGCTTACATGCTAACTACTTTGCACTAGAAATTTGATTTTCAGTTTTGTTTCAAACTGGAAGAAAGCTCTAAGTGTTGCAGCTTTGTGTATAGTGAAAGAACAAAGACGAAGGTTTACTAGTAGCCATAGTTTATTACCATTTAGCTCTAAACTTTGATTCTTTTTATTTTTATTAATTACAGTTTATTCGCTTTGTATCCCCCCTGTACCTCCCTCCCTCTTCCCCACCCATGTCCCTCTGCCAGTCCACTGATAAAGGAGGTCCTCCTCCCCCCCTTTTTTTAATTAATTACAGTTTATTCACTTTGTATCCCAGCTGTTGCCTCCTTCCCCAGCCCCTCTCAATTCCACCTTCCCTCCTTCATCTCCTCCCATGCCCCTCCTCAAGTCCACTGATAGGGGAGGTCCTCCTCCCCTTCCATCTGATGCTAGCCTATCAGATCTCATCAGGACTGTCGCATTGTCCTCCTCTGTGGCCTGGCAAGGCTGCTCCCCTCTCAAGGGGAGATAGATGATCAAAGAGCCAGCCACTGAGTTCATGTCAGAGGCAGTCCCTCTTTCTGTTACTGGGGACACTGATTCTTAGAGGACTTTGATTCTTTGATAACCTTTGATTCCTATAGGACACTATTGCTAGATATTTTGGAAGCTTCCATACAGGTAAATCTGAATCTCATACAACTTCTCTATGACACTTAATTTGAAGGTCATGATTTAATGAAAGTACTTCTACAGACCATCATAATGTTATATTTATGTCTGGGTCATTGTAATAATTACTGAAAAGAGCTGACCTGTTTTCTCTTCTAGCAGTTCTCCATACCATTTCTTTTACCTAGATATTTCATTATGTTAGGCAGTTTGATTTAGGTTTTTAATTAGGTAGCAAGATTCTGAAGTACCTATATATTTTTTTAATTATTTTTACTATATGTGTGTATGTGCCACATGTGTACAGGTATGAAGAGAGACCAAAAGAACATGTTAGATGCTCTGGACTGGAAGTTACAGGCAGTGGCAGGCTGCCCAGTGAGGGTGCTGACAACCCAACTGAGGTCTCGACACGAGCAGCTAGTGCTCATAACTGCTGAGCCCGGTATATTTATTCTTTGTTTAACAATTTTGCACATAAACTAATTTATTTTTATCTTTAACACATAAAATTTGTATTTAAAAGGTGGGATTTGGTACTGCCGAGCTTGCTCAGTGGGTAAAGGCACTTGCTACCAAAACTGAACCATTGATCAAATCTCAGAAGCCTATGTGATGGAAAGAAAACTGAGTCCCACAAGCTGTCCTCTGACTTGCCCACGTGTGTTAATGTCATGCACATGCTCCTCATTCATTTTCAGCTTCACTTTCTTTTTCCCCTTTAATCCTCCCCCATAATTAAAAACATTTTTATATCAACAACGTTTAAAACTGGAGCTGTTGTACTATGCTCTACATATACTGTTTATGTTTGCTATTTATGTCGTATATAGTACTGTTTATGTAGTGCATAGTAATTGACATACTTAAAAAATTTGGACAGAAGGATCATGAGTTCAAGGATAGCATGAGTGATACAAGCAGTGACCCTGTCTCAAAACCCAGTGGTTGAGATCCACTCTAGTAGGGTGCTGACCTGCTATTCAGTGTTATGGTTGCAGTCCTCAACACTGGGAAAAAACAGAAGTTTTCTTTAAATACCTTTTTGTTGTTGTTATGCAGGTTTGATAATCCAGCTGCTGTAAGCCCAACTCCTACACGACAGCTAACTTTTAACTACCTTCTTCCTGTGAATGCTTGGCTCCTGTTGAATCCTTCAGAGCTTTGCTGTGATTGGACCATGGGAACAATACCACTGATAGAGTCATTTCTAGATATTCGAAATCTTGCCACATTTGCTTTCTTTTGCTTTCTGGGGGCTTTGGGAATATTCAGTCTCCGATACCCTGGTGATTCCTCAAAGACTGTTCTAATGGTAAGAAATCTTAGTTTTTCAATAATGTCACATTGTATTGGTTACATGTGACATCTTTAAATATCCAGTATATGCTTCTAGAGGTATATTTCTTTATTGATCATTCCTAATTTATGAACCTGTGTTATATTATTCTTATATTAACAATTAACTAATAATGTAATTAATTTATAGGTATATTTTAGCATACACATTCAGCTATGTAAAACAGAAGTCAATATTTTTTTCTAATTTGATAAAAACAAATATAAATACATCCCTTTGTCACTGATTTTCTTTACATTTTTTACTTTTTTCTAACTGGGTTACAACATTTGAAAAAATTGATTATATTGTATCCTTGTTTCCCTGGCATTGTGAATGAATAGTGTCATGTGATATGCAGCTAAAAGGACTATAGTTTTTAAGTTTTGTTAACAAGATTTTAATCACACCCTGAGCAGGACTATATCCAGTGACCTCTGATTATTTAAAATCTTTTTTGTGTGTGGTTTGTTTCAGTCTTGTTTGTTGTGTGTTTGTCTTTTGTTTTTTAAAATTTTTTTCTTCAGCCTTTGTGAGAATTCTTTTTTAATTGTTGAAAGTAACATTTTCCTCAGCATTTAATGAATGGTAGAAAGTATTTTAATGTTTTACGAATATATCATTTATGACTAGCACCATCAGATTAACATATCTGTTCAGTATAAAATTATGATTGCAGCTTATTTACCTGATAGCATTTGAAGCACTAGGATGAGATGAATTATAAGTCCTTGTTTCCAGAGTGAGCAGCTTATGAAATTTGCAACAAATGGCTAAGATGTAGAAAAAAATTTTGAAAGAATACAGAGTATAGGATAAAGATCTGTTTTCTTTTGTACTTTAACAGGAGAGTTTGTATCTTTAAAACATCCTGCTTGAGTTCTTGAACAACACTTTGAAGTTCACAAGAAATGCTTAGGCCACACTTAGAATTTCTTTACTCTACTGGTACTAATTGAAACCAGAGGGTAGATAAGGTGCATATAGGGGATGGGAGTGAGGGGTGGAAGTAGGCTTTTGCCAGTTCTCCATAGGCTACTATCTAATACCGTTCAAGTTTCATAGAGGTTAACTTGAGTTTAAGGATGCTGTTGAGTTCTTAGTGTTAATTCTCTTCTAGAAAAGAGTTAATGTAGCTGAATAGTGTAAAAGAAGCTTACGCTCATTTCCTAAAGAACTCCCATATGTAGATACTTCATGGAGAAAAAAAGATCTGGGTAGGAGACAGACTTGACAGACTCAAAAAAAAAAAAAGAGAGTAAATGTTTTAGGAAAGAGTGAGTAGCTGACACTAAAAGGCATTGTTAAAACATAAAAAAAGTGAGATCTCTTTAAAATTGTTGGATTTGATGAAATATCACTGGAGCCTATCAGTAAATGGAGTTAAGCCTATCAGGGAAACCACAAACTCCTGAACAGTCTTAGAAACTGATGTGAAACTAGTGACCCTGCATTTATGACAATATTAATTCTGTCAGCCATCATACTTTTTCAAGGAGTCCATTGTTCCTTAAGTAAATTCACACAAAATAGATAAATGATTGCATATATTTACCTTTGAAGTGTGCTAAAAGGACAGTTGAATAAGGAAAGATAGGATCCAAGTTTGGCAAATTAAAATAGAGATAGATAGATAGATAGATAGATAGATAGATAGATAGATAGATAGATAGATAGATAGATAGATAGATTTATTTTAAAAAATAACAGCAATGAAAGAAACATGGGTTTACATAAGTTATGTGCTGTTTCATATGTGTAAAAAGGAAAGATTATGCCCTTGAATGTAACAGTGTTTTACATATACTGTAAGTCATGCTAATTCTTTTAAAATGTTGAATTTTTTGAGGATGTCAAAAAGCAGGGCAAGAAGTAGTACTCAAGGACAGATTCCATCTTAGATATCTATCAAGATATTTAATATTTATCAACAACATAATGTAAGTAGTAATTAGTCCATATTTTAGTTTATAAGGAAGTGTTCTCAAGATTGAATAGTTTTTATTTCAATAGAATTTAAAATTTATCTTAAGCTGCATGGTCAGAGCCACCAGCCACCAGTCCCAGGGCCCTACAGAGACTGATGAATCAAAGGACCATGCATGGAGAAGACCTAGGCAACCTGCTCAGATGTAGCCCATGGGCAGCTCAGTCTCCTTGTGGGTTCCTTAGTCAGGGGAGAAGGAGCAGTCACTGGCATAAACTTGGTTGCCTGCTCTTTGATCACCTTACTTACTGAGGTGGCCTTACTAGGCCACAGAGAAAGATGATCCAGACAGTCCTGATGAGACCTGATAGGCACTAGGGTCAGATAGTAGGGGAGGAGGACCTCCCCTATCAGAGAACTAGGGGAGGGACATAAAGGGGGAAGAGGGAGGAAAGATGGGACCAGGTGTAAATGAGGGAGAGTGGCTACAGCAGGGATACAAAGTGAATAAACTGTAATAAATAATAATAATAAAGTTAATAAAAATTATCTTAAATTCTTGGCTCTTGGCACTAATAGACCTTTTCTTTTCTTTTTTTTTAATTTTTTTTTTTTAATTTTTTATGTCTGGGTGTTTGGCCACCCTCTATTTCTGTATGCCATGCCTCTGTGCCTGGTGCTTACAGGAGCCAGAACAGGATTCCCTGAGACTGGCGTTACAGACAGTTGTGACGTGATATGAAGGTACTGGGAACTAATATCAGGTCCTCTTGAAGAACAAGTGCTTTTCACTGCTAAACAGTCACTCCAGCCTCTAATGTCCCTCCAAAAAAAAAGACCATACATTAAGAGAAGAAAACTACGGGTTACTCACAGTTACTTAGATGGCCATACATTTATTATTACTTCATTAATTAGGATTTCAAAGTCATTAATCATAAAAGACAGAGCTGATGGTCTTTAGCTGACTGGTCATTTTCCTTCCTTAATTTAGTCACTAATCTATAATGGATTTGAATGAGTACTATTAATTACTTAAAATAAAATTTCTTTTGACAGTTAAATTATTATTTTTTGAATGAGCCTCAAATTTCAGGCTATCCATATTTAAATAACTTTACATCTCGCTGATGGTTTGTTAATCGTGCATCTCTAGGAAGTGAGAAGGAAAAATACCCTTACTGGTTCATGTTTTGTTTTTATAAAAACTATTGAAATTTCCAACACATAAATGATGTGATACATATTCATGTCTATTTCATTAATGAAGTATAATAAGAAGAGACAGTCTTTTCTCCAAAAGAATATTGCTAAAAGTTGCATTCCTCACAGAAAGTTAAGTAATGCTAATTATGTTTTTCATGTCTTCAATGGGATTTAATTTTAAATAATGATTCATAAAGTCTATTGGCAATCTAACAAAGTATATTTTAGAACTAAAAAAACAAAAACTTCTTACCCTGTTTGTGTTCATCCTGATGTTTATTACTGCCCCTGTGTTTCCTTTATGTTCATTCTTTATGATAGTATCTAAAATATTCTGCAGTCATGTTTACTCAAAGTAAATTATAAAAGCTTGGGTTGTTTGTCACCTATGTGTTTCTTTAATTTAATGTGCTATCTTCATTTTCATTCTAGGCACTCTGTTTAATGGCATTGCCATTTATTCCTGCATCAAACCTTTTCTTTCCTGTTGGATTTGTTGTTGCCGAGAGAGTGCTGTATGTTCCTAGCATGGGGTTCTGCATTTTAGTAGCCCATGGATGGCAAAAAATTTCAAACAAAAGGTGAATAAATGCTAGTTTTGTTTATGGTTATTAAATTTATAGTTAAATACATTAAAATTTAAAGTGTTAGCATTTCAGTCTCTGTGTAGTTTAGTTTTATAAGCCATACTCTTAGTCTTCTCATCTGTATAACTGGTCGAGTTGGAAAAGCTTTTTACTGCCTACTCGTTGTGTGTTCTCTCTATCTAATTTATGTTACAACCCAATACAACAAACTTAGTCATACTCAGGTAAAAACAGTGCTGATGTTATTAAAATAAGCACAGATGACCATTTCCATATGCAGTGACTAAGATATAGTCATCCTATTACAATGAGGCATACTGAGTTCTGAGCATAAATAAAATGCGCTTAGCAAACATTCATAATTACCTTATCACCATCTTCATTATAAAATAATACAAGGTCCTTTTTGCTTTAACAGTTAAGGAGCAATATGTTTAGAAACTGTCATAATCATAGGAGCTATGTACATTTACTATATCAATATAATTGTCAAGCAAATTTGTAATAGTCAAATAATATAATACTAAATTTCAATTTACATTTGACTTTTTTTTTTACAGCTGACTTCTTTGTGCATCACTCATAACATCTCTTAACAAGTTGTCTCCTCTTACATTAAGTCAATGCTTTATTTGAAAACTATTTCCATAATTTCTATAAACATCTCCCACCGAATTATGTCATATAAATTCTATCTCAGAATCTTCTTACTATATCCACTCTTTGAATATTCCCATTTTTTCTACATTTTATTCTGGCTTCTTTTGACACACATGTACTAACCAGATTATCTTATTTACTTTCACAGTTTTCATCAACATCTACAAAACTTTCTTTTAATTTCTACCCATGTATTTAGTTTTGATCACCACCAATTTTTAGACCCTACTATGTGCCAAAGATTATTTATGATAGACATTTAGAATTATTTTCCCATGTAATCGTAACACACATAGCCTCCTTTGCAGATGTGAAACAGGAAGCTCATACAAGCTACCTAGTTGCCCAAGATCACACAGATAGTAAACAGAAATGCTGATTACAATTCACATCCAATTCTGCCACAGAGATATTATCTGATCCATATATCCTGTTGTACATAGGTGGGTCTGTCAAATAAGATCTTGAACCATGTTAGAGATACAAAACACAGAACATTAACACTGAAATAATAGATTATTGACATAGTCATCCTGCTATAAGTGAAGTAGATGTCAACAGTTGTGTGATTTGAAGTGATCTGAAGTTGTGTGATTTGCATCAGTTTTACAAGTTTTTCTCTTTTTTTTTTAATAACAATTCGGACATTGAATAATCAGTAAAATGATTCAAAGAGTAGGAGAGCCTATGGTATAATTTGTAAGCAAAAACATTTTTAAGGTCTTATAATGTGTAAATGATGACACAAGGACACTACAAAAATTGACAGTTCAAACTATTTATCAAATTTTTAGATCACTGATTATTAAATTCAGCTTTAGAAATAGTGGTTAATGCATTAGAATATGGAGTTAACTTTCTGTATCTTTGAGTTCATGAATACAGGGCTACAAATCAAATATATTAGAAAAAATGCATTTGTAATGAAATATGTAGACTTTTTAACATATCATTGTCCCTTAACAATAAAGTCTTACATCTTGCATAGTTGTTATGGATTGCTAAATAAAATATCTGGGGGAATTGTATAGGTTCTATACAAATGTTTCCATTCTTTTTTTTTTTCATTTTTTTAAAAATGTATTTATATTTTTATAAATTACAGTATGTAGACATCCAGCTAGACCAGCACCTTTTGTTGAAGATGCTGTCTTTTTTTTTCATTGTATGGTTTTGGCTTCTCAGAAATCAAGTTTCCATAGGTGTGTGGGTTCATTTCTGGGTCTTCTACTTGATTCCATTGATCCACCATTCTGTTTCTGTTCTATTACCATGCAGTTTTTATTACTATTGCTTCATAGTACAACCTGAGATCAGGGATGATCTTTTGTTGTGCAGGATTGTTTTAGCAGTTCTGGGATTTTTGGTTTTTTGTATGAAATTGAGAATTGTTCTTTCAAGGTCTGTAAAAAATTGTGTTGGTATTTTGATGGGAGTTGCATTGAATCTGTAGATTGCTTTTGGCAGGATGCCCATTTTCACAGTGTTAATCCTATGATCCATGAGCATGGGAGATCTTTCCATCTTCTGATATCTTCTTCACTTTCTTTCTTCAGAGACTTGGAAGTTTTTTTCAAACAGGTCTTTCACATGCTTGGTTAGAGTCACACCAAGGTACTTTATGTTATTAGTGGCTATTGTGAAGAGTGTTATTTCCCTAATTTCTCTCTTAGCCGTTTTGTCTTTGGTATACAGGAGGGCTACTGATTTTTTTAGTTACTTTTGTATCCAGCCACTTTGGTGAAGGTGTTTATCAGCAGAAGGAGTTCTCTGGTTGAATTTTGGGGGTAATTGTGTACTATCATATCATCTGCAAATAGTGATACTTTGACTTCTTCTGATTTGTATCCCCCTTGATCTCCTTTACTTGTCTTATTGCTCTAGCTAGGACTTCAGATGTTTACATTCTTAGATGAGGGTCTTAAGCAGCTTCAGACTTTTCTGTCCTATGGGAATTGTGAAATACAGTTACAAAACCCAAAGAACGAATAAAATATAAGTGAAGTCTCAATTGGTAGTTCATCTTCATGTTATTTAATATTGGGGTCTTCTCTAAACATGTGAAATCATTAAAATGAATTAAAAAAAATGATAATTTGGAACTAGTTAAGATTTTTGTTACCTCTTCTAAGCTAAAATGCTTTTGGTGATGATAGTATATTGTTTTATATTAATTACAGTTTATTTACTTTATATCCCATCTGTAGCCCCTTTCCTCATTCCCTCCCAATCCCACCCTCTTTCCCTCATCTCCTCCCTGCCCCTCTCTAAGTCCACTGGTAGGGGAGGAGAACCTCCTTGCATCTGACCCTAGCTTATAAGTTCTTACTAGGACTGGCTGCAATGTCCTCTTCTGTGGCCTAGCTAGGCTGCTTCTCCCACACGGGGTTGGGAGGTCAAAGAGCTAACCACAGATACAGTCTTTCAGAGGCCCTCTATGGTAGGCTCCTGTCCTGCTTCTCGTTTTCTCCTACTTCCACTCTCCATCCCATTTGTCTTTTATAAGTAAGGATTGATCATCTTACCCCGGGTCCTCCTTCTTGTTTAGCTTCTTTAGGTGTACAGATTTTAGTATGTTTATCCTATCTTATAGGTCTAGTATCCACTTAAAAATGAGTATATACCATGTGTATCTTTCTGCTTCTGGGATAGCTCACTCAGGATGATCTTTTCTAGGTCCCACCATTTGCCTGCAAATGTCATGATTTCCTTGTTTTTAATTGCTGAATAGTATTCCACTGTATAAAAGTACCACAATTTCTGTATCCATTCCTCCATTGAGGGTCATCTGGATTGTTTCCAAGTTCTGGCTATTACAATAAAGCTGCTACAAACATGGTTGAGCAAATGTCCTTGTTGTGTACTTGAGCACCTTTTGGATATATGCCTAGGAGTTGGTATGGCTGGATCTTGAGGAAGCACTATTCCTAATTGTCTGAGAAAGTGCCAGATTGATTTCCAAAGTTTACATTACCACCAGCAATGGAGGAGGGTTCCTCTTTCTCCACAACCTCTCCAGCATGTGTTGTCACTTGAGTTTTTGATCTTAGCCATTCTGATGGGTGTAAGGTGAAATCTCATGGTCATTTTGATTTGCATCTTCCTGATGGCCAAGGACATTGAACATTTCTTTAAGTGTTTCTCTGCCATTGTACATTCCTCTACAGTGAATTCTCTCTTTAGCTCCATACCCCATTTTTTAATTGGATTGTTTGATTTGTTGCTTTTTAACTACTTTAGTTCTTTATATATTCTGGATATTTTTAAATCTTTATTTTTATTTTTTCAACAGTGTACTGAAAAAGCTCTCTTGGGTTTGTCTCTCCATGGTGATACTGACCCATGCCTTGAAAACACTCCATAGAAATTGGGACTGGGAGTCTGAATATACATTGTTTATGTCGGCCTTAAAGGTAAAGTATTACTATTCAAAAGACAGGAATATGTGTTATTGCAAAACTGTTATTATTGCACCTTTAGGGAGACATTTAGCTCCATTTTAGTCAAGAAACAGTACATTGTTTTTATATAGTACATAACATAACCAAACTTCATAAGTACTACTTGATTATATGTCCAAAAGATATATAAATAGTTTTGTATTATACTAAATGTACTTGAAAATCATATGGATAAATACTTAAGTATAAAACTGTATCTTCTAAGAAGAAAACAGAAAACAACCTAGGAACCTGCAACAGAGGGCCTCTGAAAGCCAGAAGAAGAAAACAGGAAACAACCTAGGAACCTGCCACAGAGGGCCTCTGAAAGTCTCTGTCCTGCAGACTATCAAAGCAGATGCTGAGCCTGATGGCCAACTGTCGGGCAGGGCAGAGTGAATGGAATTTTATGTAAGAAGTGGGAAATAGCAAAAGCTAGAGAGGACAGGAACTCCACAAAGAGAGCAACAGAATAAGAAAATTTGAACACAGGGAACTTGGCAGAGACTCATACTCCAACCAAGGACTATTCATAGATGTAGCCTATGGCAGTTCAGTGTCCAAGTGGGTTACATAGCAATGGGAAGAGGGACTGCCTCTGACATAATCTGATTGGCCTGCTCTTTGATTACCTCCCCCTGAGGGGGGAGCAGCCTTACCAGGCCACAGAAGATGACAATGCAGCCGCTTCTGATGAGAACTGATAGACTAAGATCAGAAAGAAGGAGAGGAAGACCTCCCCTATCAGTGGACTTCGGGAGGGGCATGCATGCAGAAAGGGGAGGAAGGGTGGGATTGGGAGGGGAGGAGGGAGGGGCTTATGGGGGGCTACAAAAAGAATAAAGTGTAATTAATAATAATAATAATAATAAAAAGAAAAACTGTATCTTCTTAGTTTTTAGAGTGCACATTTTTTAATCTTTCAATATCTTAACAGCAAAATAAGTCATATAGGATATGACATCTTATACTTAATTAGTAGCTTAGTTGTTGTTAATGGTACATAAAATCATGAATTTTATAATCAGTGCATCATTTATTCAGTGAGATGAAATCCACAACAAAAATGTCACCCCACTGTGTGAAGAAGTATCATTGGTTCAGCACTATTAGGGATGATGCTGGTAAGCAGAATATTATTTTTAAAAGATACACACATATATGTACTTTTTTTTTAAAGTTATCAATAGAATTTTTCCCAAACACTCTCTCTCCCATCCTTTACAAATCTCTAAACTAAACTTTTGACTACTTTTTTTTTTTTTTAATTATGTATGTCTGCAGAAATCTGTATCTGGATATGTATATGTGAATTCAGGTGCCCACTGAGGTGTTGGATTCCCCCGAAGCTGGAGTTTAACACAGCTATCACCTGCCTTATATGTGTGCTAGGAACCAAACAGGTCCTCTGTGAGAGCAGTCTGCTTTATACTGCTAAACCATTCCTCCAGCTCTCCTTTTTACTACTTCTTTATTTCCCATTACTTAGCTTTAGAATTTTCTGCTTTACTCTAGTAACCAATGGAATATCTTTTTTAGCGTCTTATATACTTTATATAAGTTATCTTTATGCTTAAGATTGGATGGCTCTTCTTGGCCACACAGCTTTACTTTCCTCCTAGCTCTGTTGATAAGTGAAGTATCACCACCATACTATTAATCCATACTTTTATATGTTAATGGTTTCCCATAAGTATTAGGAATGTTGCTTGCCTGTATTCTCAGAACACTGATTAAAACCTACAGTTCCAATCACTGTAGCTCCACTTTTGGCTGTATATTGTACTCTACCCATCTGTGAATTCTCCACACACAGATGAATTTCACTACCTCGATCTCAGCATTTCCAGTTTCCTAGTAAACTACATATATAGATTTAAATATGTCCCATCTAAAAGTAAGGCATCCATACAGTCTCTTAAGTATATTCTCTTATCTCTGTACCTCTCTCATAAACACAGTACAAATACTGCAATAGTTTTCAAACAGGATTGTACCCTAATCAGATAAATCTTTGGGAACATTTCTGATAGATAAGTGAATTCAAACTGCTGTGGCTTTATAGTATACTAAGACCACAGTATGTTGAAGCAGTGGTTCTCAGCCGATGGGTTGCAATCCCTTTCTGGGTAAAATGACCCTTTCACAGGGGTTGTCTAAGACCATTGTAAAACACATATTTACATTATGATTCAGAACAATAGCAAAGTTACAGTTATGAAGTAGCAATGAAAATAATTTTATGGTTGAGGTCACCATAACATAAGGAACTGTATTAAGGGTCACAGCATTAGGAATGTTGAGAACTGCTGTGTTAGAGGAAAGGCAGAGTACATAGGCTGTTGTCTCATTTCTAGGAATATTTCCATAAAATATTCCATTCCTAATAGTTTACCAAACAAATATGTGAACTGTAAATTTTTGGATATTTGTTTTTTTCTGATTGTAGCTCATTCTGTTTTTATATGTGTTTTAGGTGAATAAGAACAATGCGAAATTGTGGAACAATGTGGGTCATGCTCTGGAGAATGAGAAGAACTTTGAGAGAGCTTTGAAATACTTCTTACAGGCTACCCATGTTCAGCCAGGTAAGCAGTGTTCGTTAATAAATTGAAGAATAGCTTATCTTCTACTGCTTTACTAACATTGTAGTTGTTAAATGGCACTATATACATTAGATGAATGAGGGGTGCAGGGTTTATTAAACTGAGTTCAAGGTTATTGAAGACATCGTAGAACAAAATTTAAAAGCTATGGTGGTAGGCAAAAGGAGAATGATTGAATGACAGAGTTTCTTTTAGGTGGGAAAAAGTCATATTTCAAGCGTATCCAGTATAGTTGAGAAAAATAATAGTGCAGCTATGGGGAGATAGACGGGATCTGCTACACAGGCTACAATACTTTTAGGACCTGGAATAAATTATTGTAACAAAGAAGACACAATGTGTAGACAATGGATAGGAGATGGGTGAATAATATAGAGTAACCTGAAGTTGCCTTCTGTTTGCTTCTGTTTCCTCAGTGAAAGAGTAAAATCACCAGTAGAGAGTAAAGGAAAGGACAGTTGGAAATGTGTGAACAAGAAAGAATGCAAAATGGTCATGTAAGACAGTGCTTCATAAACTTCAATGTGCATAGAAATCTAGAGATCTTATTCTAGTGTATATTCTGGTACAGATTTAGATATAACCTGAAATTGTACATTTCTAGTAAGCTCTCATGATATATCCACATGAAGCAAAGCTAGACAGCTAGAAAAATACACAGTTGCCAATCATTGTTAGCTTCCCGAATTAATAACTGAAAATTAAATCAATTGATATAGTTAAATATTTTTCTCCTCCTATTTTCCAGCTACTGTAATGAATTATTCTGTTAAGAAAGATTAGAATATTTTTCAGACATGTTTTACTAAAGAAAAGACTAAGCGGTCAATTATAATAACAGTGTTTATACTCTAATATGATTCAAAAGGGATAAGAAAAGAGACAAGGTCAGTAGATACGTCTGAAGAAATGTTGGTGTCTGAGTAACTAGAATAGCAGTATTTTTCCATAGAGTGCTCCTGACATTTCAAGTATGCAGAATTATTTACCAAAAGTTGTATGCAACTATCAGTATCACCAGATGTCATCACTCTATCCTATTTAAAGACAAGTAGAATGATTCCCATATTTTAACTATCCCACAGTGTAGGGGTGGACACTGTCTCAGTTTTCCCTACTTAGTAAAATTATGGTCTTTGAACTAAATGTTAAGGTAAGAAAGAAGTGAAATTTATTGAAAGAAAGAACATCAAGGTCACAGTGTTAAAAAATAACATGCATATGCCAGGTGTAGTAGCACACTCCTTTAATCCAGCACTTGGAATGCAGTAGATCTCTGAGTTCGAAGCCAACATGGTCTACATAGTAAGTTCTACGACAGCCAGGGCTGTATGGAGAGACTTTGTTTGGAGAAGAAAAAATTTATGCATACATACATTGCTGGCATTAAAGAATTTTGACAGTTGTAATGTTAGAGCCCAAAAGATCCAGGATTATGAGCCAAATAAATGTTGATCACTTTAACATAGATGTGAATAGATAGTTTAAGGGTCATTGGAGTTGAGCAATTTCTAAAAAGCACTGAGAATTGTAATTAAAAACTGAGGTTAAGGGTGACACCTACTCTTCCTCCAAGACCAGTGTTGTGCAGAATAAGAAACCCTCATAGTCACCACACTAAGAGGGACAGAGTAACTGTCGTTAAGACAAAGCAAATTTCAATTAGAAAAGGGTGAAAAAAAAGTTATAGAAGTGTAACTGCTTCTATTCTGTCTCCATTAACTTTTCATGTTTTGCCTGGAATATGGGGAATGTGTCCTATGTCCCCTCTTTGATTTATGTATCTTCGTGAGGGTAAAATGTATTTTCCTCTTTCCATCTGTCTTCTACCTTAATATACTTTTGTTGTCTGCACTAGTCTTTTACATCCAGCCTCATGGCCTCTCTTCCAAGCATCCTCCATTCTAGTTAAGTAAATACACTCTGTTTGTAGGCCCCTTGCATTTTCTTTCTTACCTGTCCTGCGAGATACATGTGGACTTACTTCTTGTGTTTCTAATCTAAGTTACTGTTTCTAATCTAAGTCTTAGTTTGCTTGAAGTACTGGTTTATTTAAAATGTGGAGCTTCCTGCTGGCAACTTAAACATCTTACTCATGTTTTACATTTGCATCATCTCACTGGTCCTAGACACAAGCAAATTCATTAAATGTAATGATTCTAATTTACTTCTTTTTAGGTTCTTAGATTTTCATTCTAGGATTTTTATCATTTTAAAAATGTTTTGTTGCATTGTGTGTGTGTGGTCTGTGCTTGTGGCAATCGGAGGACAATTAAGAGAATCAGTCCTCTCCTTCAGTCTTGTGGGTCCAAAGGAATAAATTCAGGTTGCCAGGCTTGGTGCCTTTATGAATGAGCCATCTTGCCAGCTCAAATTACCACTTTTATATCACACACTGAATCTCAAACCTGCTCACTTTTAACTCTGTCACTTCTGTTGTTGAAGTAGTGATTTCTGTCTCAGCATTGTTGTAAAGCCTAAATCAAGTGCATGTGTGATGTGTCATTATGAGTGATCAGTTTTCTTGTGTAAGAGGTGTATCACAGAATGCTACCTGAGTAACGCCCCTTCAGTTTTCACATATATCTTTTTCAAGCATACATCCTATATCTAGCCTAAATATGACTTCAAAGGTAAGTTTTAATAAGTCATAGGCTAGGAAGCTAGATAGCATCCTTATAATTTCTTTAGCTTAAAGCGCACAAACTTGGAAACCCTGAATACAGCATTCGTAGTGTGCTTTTTGACTTAAGCTATATAGCCATGCTCCTAGGGTCACTTAGCAGGTAGAATAGTGTGATATTTCTAGATATTACATATGATATGGTGACATGATATTAATAGATACTGCAGAAAGTAACAGAATGACAGAACCTTGTATAGGTTTAGCAATAGATTAGGGGCTTGGGCTATGTGGGAGAGCTGTGCAGAGTGTCCAAGGCTATTTACTGTTGAAGTTTCCTGGATGACAATCATTTAAGATTTTCTTTGTCTGTGCCACATGTGCCTAATTTCTGTTTGGAAAGAATGCTCCTAGGCAAGTAGAAGGATATCTTAATACTCTTGTTTCTGATTGCTTTTTACTTCAGTAATAAAAATAGGAATAAATTTCTTTTTTTAGGGTCCTCAGTGTCTTTGATTAACCAACTCAAAATATACCAAAGAAATATATCTGCTATAAGGTACAGAAGATACTTAAAAATTACTTATAAATACACACAAAATGTACTTGTGTGTGTGTTCATGTCTTTTAAAATTATAATTAAAACATGGAAATATAAAGCATAGAGTTTAGAACTAATGGCTAGAGAGTGGCTCTTGAAACAATCATTTGGCAGAGAATAAAATGACATTAAATTACATTTAAGTATAAATAATTGAAGATAATTTTGAGGAGCACTGTCTGTGCAAAGAATATCAAAAAGAAGCGACCATTTGAAAATCTAAACGGTTTTATGTATTTGTACTCATAAGACCATTACCACCAAGGTTATGAAAATATCCATCTGGTCCCAAGTCTTTCTATCCCTTTATAATTCTTCCCACCCTTTCCACCAAATAAAACAGATCTGCTTTCAGTTAATATATATGTCTTTGCTTTTTCTAAAATTGTGTATAGACAGAATCACCCTCTATGGACTCATTTTTTTTTTTTTTTGGATTTCTTGCTGTTGGTTATTATTTTGATATTCATCAATGTTGTTCACAAATTTAAATAAAAAAAAACTTTTATGTGGCTGAGTCACACTTTTTCATGTGAATATACCACTTTGTCCAGCCATTTATCTGCTCATGAACTGTTGGATTATTTGCAGTTCAGCATTATTAGAAGCAAAATTGTTAGAGACATTCAGTTCTCAAAATGTTGTCCTCTGACAGATTTTATGCAGTGCACTCAGTTGAAACATAAAGAACATCATATAGCAAGATCTTAGGACTGTTGCTCTCCTCCTAGGGGAATGCCCAAGATATATATGCTTGGCCCCTATATGTCCTGGGAGTTGCACTCAGAGAACTACTGTTCCACAATTACAAAAGCATCGGTGTTGCAGGCAAGTAGTAATCATACTTGGAACTCTGTCGTGTCTGATGTTGAGTAAAACCTGTCTGATTTTAGATCTTTCTTTCATCTTTCTTTCAAACCTTTGAAACAATTATTAGGATTATGTCTTTTTTAACTATTATATAATTAGCCCTCGTCCTTTTTAAAGATGCATATTTCTTCTCCCACTAAATAAATTTACTGTGTATTTTATTTTCCTTATCAGGAAATGAGATACAAATTCTTGACATTCAGATCTTAACATAACCATAACAGATCTTTAAATAAATGGTATAAGAATGAATTATCATTTAAGACAGTTACCACAACTTCTTATGTCAATCCATCAACCTAACATTCCACTCTGATCACATTTGCAAAATTTTCTCTTAATTGCAAGTTTTTCCATTTCTTAGCTGTAATTCTACCACGGTGCATATTTGTTCGTTAAATCCGTGTCCTAATTATAGAACTTACCATAGTCATTTTCACCTGTAGAGTTGAGCTGTATATTTGTAATAAATGCTAGAGTTGTGAGATTAAGGAGACAGAAACAAACTGTATGTATATGGTAGAGTAAAATGTAGTAAAGTAATCCATTGGCTTTATCTCTCTTGCCCTGAACCTTCAAAGATGCACTCAGCATTTCCCATCTTGTGTGCCCTGCACGCAGTGTTCCTGCAGTCGTGGCAGCGTACGTTAAAGTGGTTTTAGAAGAGCTTCCCAGAAAGAGCAGGGACAGTCCTCTTGCTTGTTTCTGAGAGCTGCCTTCTCAATAGTTACAGTGAACAATGCCCAGGGTATCGGCCAGTAAATGTTCTGTTGTTTTAGATGACATCGGTGCCCACATGAATGTAGGAAGAACTTACAAAAATTTAAACAGAACTAAAGAAGCTGAAGAATCCTACATGTTGGCCAAGTCACTAATGCCTCAGGTAAGATGCCTTTTTTTATTTACTGTGTCATGTCCATATGAAAGAATTTGCTTAATCCACTGATACAAATATACCCCCCCACTCTTTTGTTCCTAGTTAAACATAATTTCTTGTTCAATTGATTTTTTTTAATTACTTGTATTGTTCACATGTAAATGCTAAATCTTAGGACATTAATGTCTGATATAATAAATTATCATAAATGACTGAATGAAGAGAATTTAATTTATTTACTTCAAAGAGTACATTCAAAAGTAGTCCTATCAGAGAAATTGAAACAAGCGGTAAAGCAATAGCCACAACACTGCTGGTCTGTTGTACCTATCAGTTGTTGCAGTGACAGGTGTTAGGGCATTAGATATATAGTACCAAAGATCTCTATTTATATTATGTGTAATACTTAACTTGATTAGATATATCATTTTATTTTCCAACTTCACTAAAAAAGGTTTTAGCATGACTCTAAAATAAAACTAGCGCCCTACTATTGCAGCCAGGAGATAACTTTCTTTACAGAATTACAGTTAATAAAGTGTACAGTTGGACTGAAATGAAATCTAATTGTGTTGTAGAATATGAGACCTTGACCTCTAAAAGTTCTGGTTTATCTAACTGACTACAAAGATAAGTGTAAAACAGAAGCCAGAAATAATTCATAGCTGGCATGAATGAAAACAATATCTGTCTTTCAGTGTCAAAAATTATGTTTATATTTCAGATGTTTGTAAGTGCTTGCTTGTGTGTCTGTGTGTGTTTTATTTGACAGGCTCTCAATGTAGACAAGCTGGTCTTTAACTCACAGGACTCCATTTGCCTCTCTAGTGCTCGGATTAAAGGCATGTGCAACCATGCTTGCTTGCTTTTCATTTTTATGATTTATTTTGTTATATTAGTAAAACTCAGCAAAACCGTAGGTTCTGTGTTTCTTGAAATAAGTCACTCAAAAACCTTGTTATTTTTATTTGCTACTATACTATCAAATACACAAACATGTTTTTCTCCTAAACAGATTATTCCTGGTAAGAAATATGCAGCCAGAATTGCCCCTAATCACCTGAATGTTTATATCAATCTGGCCAACCTCATCCGAGCAAATGAGTCCCGCCTGGAGGAAGCAGATCAGCTATACCGACAGGCAATAAGCATGAGGCCAGACTTCAAGCAGGCGTACATTAGCAGGTATCATAGTTCACTTTAGAAGTTACCACTGTAGCATTGAAGCTGTATCTGTGTGTGTGTTTCAACTAAGTTACCATTACAGATAGTAGACTGACAGGCGAACTTGAGTAGTGTGAAATTGACAAAAAAATCATTACAGTAGCTGAAGGAGGTTTTATATGAAAGAGTTCTAGAAGTAGCTCCATTTTAGTTCCATTGTGTCTTGTAAACAATATTAGTCAACTTCAATCAGTGTCTTTCTGTCTCTGCCACCTTTCCACAAAATAGACTTCTTGTTTGACAGGAAAGAAAAAAAATTGTCTGACATCACATTAATATTTTTGTATATTCTCATGAAAATGTTACCACTTTTACACTTAAGGGATATTGAATGTTAAACTATATTTTATATACTAAACATGAAGCTCATCGTAATTTTAACTATTTCTCTGAGAAAAAAATGTATTCTGAATTTAACTTTCTGGGATTAAAAAAACTCATTCCTAAACTGTGTATTGTATTTTTCCCTCATCCAGGAGTCACTGTGTCGTACATTACTCTATAAGACTGTCAGTAAACTCTGCCTTAAAATAATAACCGTGGTCTCATGCCTAGATGTTGTTGTATTTATCTTAGTAAAATTAACTTCACTCATTTTAAGCAAAATAACTTTTTTAAAGTTCTCAAACTCCAAATGGAACTAGAAAGATAGACAAAGATCCACAACTTTTTTTCTGTTGTGTTCCTGAAAGCTACCTGCAGGTGGCACAAGTGCTCTCCTAACTAACCATTTGGAAATTCCATTTATTTATCTAGCCATTCATTCATTTATTTACTTACTTGCTTACTTTTATTTTTGAATGGTCATTCTATAACAATACTTTGAAGGAGACTTTGAAGCTAATATATGTTGAGACTCCAAATTTCTAAAGTCTCTGCGAACTAGCACAGTAAGACTTATGTCAGATTTAAAGGCCAGAAATTCCCAATAACAATCTTATCTTTTTCAAGTGCGCCAATGTTATCATCTGATCTACTGATCTGCCACTGTAATTAGCTGCTGTGTCTCCCAGCAGTCTAGTTGTCTTCTTGTAAGATTTATCCATTAGCACATTTCTTCTGTCACCCTTTTTTGATTATTTCTCCACATTTACCATCTGAAATTGCATAAGGACTTTTCTTCTATAATATCTGAAGGTATATGCAATTAGATTTGCTGAAATGTAGTTCAGATTTGAGGCTAGTTTCACAGACTTTTTTTTTTTTTTTGAGACTTTTTTACTCTAAAGTGGTATTTCTGAAGAAGCAGAGTAAGACTGTAAAGTAAACCTTTCTATTTGTTTCACACAGGGGAGAGTTGCTTTTAAAAATGAATAAACCTCTGAAAGCAAAGGAAGCATATCTTAAAGCACTAGAGCTGGACAGAAATAATGCAGATCTGTGGTATAACTTGGCAATTGTCTATATTGAACTTAAAGAACCAAATGAAGCCCTGAAGAACTTTAATCGGGCTTTGGAACTAAACCCCAAACATAAGCTAGCACTGTTCAATTCTGCTATTTTAATGCAAGAATCAGGTAAGTTTCCTGAAAACATGTCTCTGTTTAATCAATTTGAATATTGTAAAACCCATAACAAATATCTTATAGACAGGTTGTTTATACCAGAACATTGTACATTGTATTATAAGTTGTCCAATGTACAACTTATAAGTTGTACATTGGACAACTTATAATAAGAATATTTAAAATCCTGGACATTAAGTTCTTTCAAGTGACACAAAGAGGCATATGTGGCTGTGTTGCTTGTTCATTTTTCTACCATGTGTTGACCAGCTTTCCAGGTACTCACTCAACTAGACCCTAACTACTATACAGTCATTTCTGTTGTTTTTGTTTACCAAGACACATTTTCTCTGTATAACCATGGCTGTCCTCGACTCACTTTGTAGACCAAGCTGGCCTCGAACTCAGAGAAATCTGCCTGCCTTTGCCTCCTCAAAGTGCTGGGATTACAGGTGTGCACCACCATACCTGGCTGTACAATATCATTTTATTTATATAAACATAATAAAACTACTTGTATAGTAAATATAAAGTCCAAATAGTAAAAAAAAAAAGTGGAAAAATATTTGCAACCATGCTTAAGGATCCCAGAGCGTAGTTTACCATAACATACAAGAAAATTTTCTGTGTATCTTTATATATATTTAGTTTTAAAATATCATTTTACTTTCTTGGTATTTTGTATAATTTAGTAAATTAAGATCAATCACAATATATACGTGTTTTTAAGCCATATTTTATATATGAATACTTTCCTTCACAAGACAGCATAAATGATTTTCAGTGTTAATTTTTAGTTTGAAAACATCTTCTTTATATATTCTACATATGGATTGAATTTGTATCTTCAAACTTTTACAGAAGTTAAAGAACCATAAAATTAGAAATATTTTGTAGCTTAAGTGGACCTTATTTTCCCAAATCTTCTATTTAAAAGGCTAGCCAACTAGGCAAAAAAGGCCTACTGAGTACCCCAAATGCATATAGGTACTAGATAGTAACTCACCTAAGAGCCTATTGATTTATTTTCAGGTTTTTCTTATTGATCATACATAAAGCAATATAAAGAGCATTATCCAACCCACGTTCTCATCTAAATGCATGATGATATGGCACTTACCCATAATCCCAGTACTCAGGGAGGCAGAGGCAGGTGTATCTATGTGAGTTCGAGGCATCAGCCTCGTTTACTAAGAGTCTGTCTCGAAAAACAAAAGAACAACAACAACAACAAAAATTCTATTATTTATTACAGTTTATTCACTTTGTATCCCAGCTGTAGGCCCCTCCCTCATCTCCTCCCAGTCCCACCCTTCTTTTCTCTTCTCTCTCTATGCCCCTCCCCAAGTCCACAGATAGGGGAGGTCCTCCTCCCCTTCTATCTGACCCTAGTCTGTCAGGTCTGCTTAGGCCTGGCTGTATTGTCTTCCTCTGTGGCCTGGCAATTTTATACTTAACAGTGTATTTTTGTCATGAAACTCCCTAAATGTTCTTAGCTGTCATACAAAAAAAAAAAAAAAGTCTGACTTGGATATTCATAGTTATTGTAATACTTGCTGAGCTTTTATGTATGTACTCACATATGTTAGGTTGACCCACAAATACTGTGTTTTCTGGCTGTGAAAAAGTGTGTTCTTAATTGTTATTTAAAGCTAGAAACACCCAGCTAACAGTATATGTAAATGTTACTTCCTCACCTTCCATGGGGAAGGACTTCCTGGCAGACAGAGACACAAATGGAGATGCTGCCAGAAATGGATGGATATGGAAGGGAGACTATGTGGTAGCTGGAAAGCTGGCAGTGAAAACCACAAGGAGGGACATAATGCCAGAGAAGTTAAGTTAGTAGCTAGCTGAGAGACTGCCCCAGCTAAGAGGCCAACAGTTTTAAACTATATTAATGTTTCTGTGTCTTAATAAAACCTCATGGAGCATCTGCAAAAGCCTGAGAGAAATTTACCCAGAGAAATTAGAGTATTTGTTTGGTGTATAAACACAAAATACTAACAGAACTGTGCTTGAATACACATCTTTTGAAATCCTATGTCTTATCCTCTTACCTATTTTTCCTCTCTCATGCCCTATAAGATTCCAAACTAAAGAAATTTCTCTTCTTTGTGCCTGAAGTACTGATTGAAAAAGAAATGAACTTACAATTTGAGTGTTTCATGCACTTTGTTTTCCCTATGAAGAAATAGGTATTTGTTTTCTACTTTTTATTTAGGTACAGGAATAAGTTGGTTTGCTGCTGTAGTTTGTAATATAAGAAAACACCTGAAAAGGATTCATTGATAATTTATTACCTTTACATAAAATTATTTTTAGGTGAAGTTAAACTCAGACCTGAAGCTAGAAAACGGCTTCTAAACTACATTAATGAAGAGCCACAAGATGCTAATGGCTATTTCAATTTGGGCATGCTAGCCATGGATGACAAAAAGGATTCTGAAGCTGAGATTTGGATGAAGAAAGCCATCAAATTACAACCTGACTTCAGAAGTGCTTTGTTTAACCTGGCGCTCCTGTATTCACAAACTGCTAAGGAGTTAAAGGCATTACCAATTTTAGAAGAGCTGCTCAGATTCTATCCTGACCATACCAAGGGTCTCATTTTAAAAGGAGATATTCTGATGAACCAAAAGAAGGATATACCTGGAGCCAAAAAGTGTTTTGAAAAGATACTAGAAATGGATCCAAGCAATGTGCAAGGAAAGCACAATCTTTGTGTTGTATACTTTGAAGAGAAGGATTTACTAAAAGCTGAAAGATGCCTGGTTGAAACATTGGCATTAGCACCTCATGAAGAATATATTCAACGCCATTTGAGTATAGTCAGGGATAAAATTTCCTCTTCTGGTATTGTGGAACAGCCACTGTCCCCAGTTGATAAGACTTCAGGTATAGAAAAAAGAGATGAAATCCCTTCTGAGGATGTAAAAGAAACCAGAAGTACATCCAGACCGACACAAACCATAAAAACAAATGATCATGAAAACTTGAAATCCAACAAGCAATCAATAAAAAATGCAGACAAAGAGGCCCCCCATAAAACAACAAAAGACATCAAAGAAATTGAGAAGAAAAGAGTTGCTGCTTTGAAAAGGCTGGAAGAGATTGAACGTATTTTAAATGGAGAATAATACTATTCTGTAATATGTAACAGTATCAAAGACCTTCAGTCTATATCATGTGTTTGCATGTACTAGAAACTGAAAAATGTTAAGAATATGTATTGGTTTTTAGAAACTGCATAAGATGATATAGGATCAAACAAGATTTTTGTTGAAGACTTATCTGCTCCAAAATATATGTTTTATAAGATAGGACACACATTTAAATTTGGTTGACTATAGGAGAAATCTCAAATTCCAGGTGACAAACTTGAAACTTTTATTATAAAAGGAAAAAGTTGGAGTTCTTTGAAGGGAGTGCGGGAGTTGGCAGATCTGTCTACTAATCAGAATTGAAATATTATGTGGTGTCAAGGATGAACCATTGAAGATAAATCCAGTATGTGCTGGGTTTGTGAATTCATTTATTAGCTCTTTTCTCATGTTCTTTACCACTTCAGATCCTGCAATGGATTGCTATTCATTGAAGACATTCTTTTTCCTTCAGTAGTTCTTCTTGTAGATCATGGGACATTGTACTACAAATGCATACTGTTATATTATGTGTTTTTTGATTGACGTTTAGAATGAATGGTGGAAGAAACATTTTAAAGTAAATCATGAGATATTACCTTAGGAGTTCATTCACATAACTGTGTACTTATACTTCACTCTAAACTGTAATTAAGCAGGTAAAATTTTCTCCATATAGACGCCTTGTGGTGCTCACTAATACTGTATTTTCTCTTTTACACTGAGTATTCTGACATGAACTATATGATCATGACTACTCATTGACTTTTGCTCCCCAGAGTGTTCTCTTTCTTGACATATCGTCATACTGAAACGTCCTAGTCATTCTTACCTTACACTTTAATTAAAGTATAGTCATCTCTTTCATCGTAGTCTCTCTGGTCTTAACTTAAAATCCGTTTTCTGTTTCCAAAAGCATGCATTAATTATTCTTAAATGTCTAAACCACTACAGTCAGTTTTGTTTAACTGAAAGCAAAACAATGTGACGTTTATTTTTAAACACTAAATTCTTGATGTGTTATGGTCTATAGTTTATTAAGTATTTATTTTAACTACTGATCTTTCATCAGAATTTTAAACTTTTAGTTTAAATTGTTAGTTCCCTTGAGTTAAATAATCTCTAATTATATATGTCTTAGAAACCATGCTTCTGTAATGTTTTCTAAGAAATCTTATATAAATAGGTCACAAGAAACATGTTCTGCCTTAAAGACCCATTCCTTCTAGTTTCCCAGAAGATCTGACATAGATTTTTTTTTTTTTTAAGATAATTTAACTCCAGCACTGATTCCAGTGGGTTTTAGTTCTTGACCCAGGAGATTTTGTTAAACATCAAAGCAATATTTTCGTTTCAGTTCTTAGAGTGTAGCTTTGTGACTTCAGATATGAAGTGAAGAATACCTCATATATTATGACTTGAAAATGAAGTTGTTGTTCTCTCTATGTAGGTTTTGTTTGTAATCACTACAGTTAAAATTCCAAATGGAGGACAGTTCAGTAAGCAAAGTCAAAGGAAACCTTTTACAACAGCAAACATAATAAAAGTTTGAGAACTATTTTATTAAATTTATATAGCTAGTGAAGTGATAAGGATAAATATTAATATTATCCAATAATTTTTATATAAAATTCTTTTATTAGCACTCATAAGAATGTCTGTCACAAAGAAAGTATTCATACTTGAATTTTAATTTATTTAGATCAAATCCATCTTGAGTAGCAATTATTAATTATTGCCAATCAGTGAAGCCCAATCTAATTTTATAGGAAAATTTGGAAGCATTCTCACCCATCCCTAAACAATAAAATATAATTTCTAGGAAATTGACCATGCTTCAGTTTTTCCAAAACTTGTTTGAGTGATTCTGTTTTGTAGTTAAGAGTTAAGGCTACTTGCTCTAAATTCATTCAGGAAAGTTTCTTGATTTCTCTTGTGTTAACTTTGTAAATTAGTGATATAACCCAATTAAGTTTTGATGGCTTAAATCTCACTAAAGAATATGTTCTAAGTAGTATTTATTCCATTAAAATAGAAATAGTAAGTTTTATCAAGCTTTCTTATGCTCAAATTAATGTTTCTTACATGCATGAAGTTTTATTGAAGCTATTCAAATGAGAATGATATCCTCCCCAGCTGCCTCAGAGTTGTCTTTTTGAAGAAGTGGGAATATTAGCATTTTTAAGCCCAATTACCTATCCTGTGGTTTAGTGCTTTGGATATCTGAATTAAAAAACAAACAAAAACAAAAGAAACAAGACAGAGCTTTGACAATCTTCAAGGAGCTGTGTTATGTTTTCCTTCACAGAAAGTGGAGTTAAATTCTGAATGCTCCTATTGTTGTTTTTGTTTCTGTTTAACATTTGAAATTAGGAATTTTCTCATTTTTCTAGTGAGTAGCCCCACCCACCAACCCCCTCTTTGAGGCTAGGCCTTACAGTGCTGCCCAAACAGGTCCTGAACTCAAAATATCAAGTGATCCTACTCCAGCACCCTGTGTGACTGGAATACTGGCGTCCACAGCCTTGTCCAGCCCCAGTGTGTGGTTTTCTGAAGTCAGTGACTTAGAGAATAAAATAACTAAGTATATTCCTTTTTAACCATTTTGTGTTTACTCTTCCTTATTTAGTATGTGAAGTACACAATTCTAATAAAACCTCATTGTCTTTTCTTTACATCTGAGTTTTCAATTTCATGTTATAGAATGCTTCTTCAAAGATGCTTTAATGAACCTATTAAGAGTATATAGATTTGTATGTCAGTTTATACTTCAAAAATCCATATATTTGTCATATTTATTTTTTTATTTGCATGTCCAAATGATATTTAAAATGAGCCCCTTCCCCCAAATGTCTGATAATTGATAAAACTTTTCTCTCCAATCCACATTAAAGATTCATTAAAAAGTAGTTTTCAAATGTATGCATTTTATATTACTATGCTGTTTGTGTATCACATTTCTAAATATTCATTATTAAATTGTTACTTTTTAAAACTTTAAACCTGATTGCCTTTTAATGTTAAATGAAATGCAAAACTTTGTATATAATAGGTCTGCCTACAGAAAGAAAGGAATGAGCTGGCATGTAATTTTGTCAGAAGTGAACTGTGAAAAGCATACATTATAGTTCCTAATAACGACATACTTTTAACTATTGGTGAAAGAACCCAAAATAAGAAAATAAAAAGGCTAAACTCAAGCTTGGACTTTTATATACTTCTGTATTTGTCCAGGTTCAAATCCATGTATAGGGAATCCATATATTGTTAATAAAAAGCAGAGAGGGAAGGTGCTAGCCACTTTCTTGCCACTAAGAACAATAAGAGTCACAAAGATTAGAATCCAGGTGGGAGAAGAAGTCTTAGAAGAGCTAATTTTGGGTACAATTTTTCTTTGGAGCATTCGTGAGAATATGTAGAATATATATTTGACTCATTCTGTGAAGAGGAAACCTACTGCTAGGACAAACTGCTGAACAAAGCCCCAACGCCATAAACATCTGCTACCAAGTGCCAGGAATGGTATATGTCTAATTGATTTGTTGACAAAAAGGGATTCATGAAAGCCCCCAGACAACCCAGGCTATTGCAAAGGCTAATAGTTGCTGGTCACAAACTGATGGTAAGGCTGAAGACAACACCTACACAGCTCATTGAACATGGAGAAGTCAAGCAGGTGCCTAACTAAAGCTTTCACCCTCACTGACTATTCTTTATGGTACTGGAAGGTACTTTGTATGCTACTAGAAAAGAAAGGTTAAAAACCAACCCAACTAAGAGTGCTCAACTCTACGCTGGTGACCTGCCTGCATATGCTGGTGTAATAATGGCACAAACATGGGAGTAACCAATACCTTTCTGACTTTAAAACCATCCCAACTGAGAATGTTCCAATCTACAAAGGTGACCTGCGTGCATGATATGCTGGTGCAATTATGGCATGAACCTGGGAATAAGCAAACAATATCTTAATGAATTTAAAGCCCACTCAAGCCTGACATTCCCTGGGTAGCCAGGAACCTAAGACCAGATAGGCCATGGGAATAGCAGAAAATCAAATACTATGGTTCTGCTAAGCTAAAGGTTCATAACAATAAAAATGACTCCTAACGATATTCTGCTATATCCGTAGATCAGTGTTTTACTCAGCCATCATCTAGAAGCTGCCTCCTGTGGTAAATGGGAACTAATACAGTGACCCATCACTGGACAGTGTGTAGAAAGTGAGAAACAGGAACACTCAGTCCTAAATGAGAAGTCTTCATCAATTTCCTCTCTCAAAGGCTCAGGGAACTGTGAAAGGGAGGGAGAAAGACTAAAAGACACAATAAGACGTTGAACATTTAAGTGTTTCTTTGCCATTCGATATTCCTCTGTTGAGAAATCTCTGTTTAGTTTTGTACCCATTTTTTAATTACTTGGTTTGTTGGTGTTTAACTTCTTGAGTTTATTTTATATTCTGGATATTATCCCTCTGTCAGAGGTAGGTTTGGTGAAGATCTTTTCCCAGTCTGTAGGCTATTGTTCTGTTGACAGTGTCCTTTGCTTTGGAGAAGCATTTCAGTTTCATGAGGTCCCATTTATTGATTGTTGATATTAGAGCCTGTGCTGTTGGTGTTCTGTTCAGGAAGTTGTCTCCTGTGCAAATGAATTCAAAGTTCTTCCCCACTTTTTCTTCTAAGAGATTTAGTGTGTCTGGTCTTATGTTGAGGTCTTTGATCCACTTGGACTTTAGTTTTGTGCAGGGAGACAGATAATGGATCTATTTATATTTTTCTACATGTAGACATCCACTTAGACCAGCATCATTTGTTGAAGATGCTATATTTTTTATCCATTTTATGTTTTTGACTTTTTTGTCAAAAATCAAGTATCCATAGGTGTGTGGGTCTACTTCTGGGTCTTTGATTCCATTTATCCACCAGTCTTTCTATGTCAGTACCATGCCGTTTCTATTACTATTGCTCTGTAGTACAGCTTGAGATCAGGGATGGAGATACCTCCAGACGATCTGTTGTTGTACAGGATTGTTTTAGCAATTCTGTTTTTTTTCTTTTTTTTTTTTTCCATATGAAATTGAGACTTGTTCTTTAATAACAACACTGTACCTTGTGTTGTTATTTTAACGGGAATTGCATTGAATCTGTAGATTGCTTTTGGTAGAATGGGCCATTTTCACTATGTTAATCCTGATCTATGAGCATGGGAGATATTTCCATCTTCTGATATCTTCTTCCATTTCTTTCTTCAAAGACTTAAAGGTTTTCTTTTCATACAAGTATTTTCACTTGCTTGATTAGAGTCACACCAAGGTCCTTTATGTTATTTGTGGCTATTGTAAAGAGAGCTGTTTCCCTAATTTTTTTCTCAGCCCTTTTGTTTTTTTGTATACAGGAGGGCTTCTGATTTTTTTTTTTTAAGTTAATTTTGTATCCAGCCACTTTGCTGAAGGTGTTTATCAACTGAAGGAGTTCTCTGGTAGAATTTTTGAGGTCACTCATATAATGGGAAATGCAAATCAAAAGAACCCTGAGATTACACCTTACACCCATCAGACTGTCTAAGATCAAAAATTTAAGTGACAACACATGTTAGAGAGGATGTGGAGAAAGGGGAACCCTCCTCCATTGCTGGTGGGAATGTAAACTAGTAAAACCATTTAAAAATCAATCTGGCGCTTTCTCAGAAAATTAGGAATAGTGCTACCTCAAGATCCAGCTATACACTCCTATGCATATATATCCAGAAGATGTTCAACCATACAGCAAGGAATTTTGCTCAGCTATGTTCATAGCAGCTGTATTAGTAATAGCCAGAATCTGGAAACAACCTAGATGTCCCTCAATGGAGGAATGGATACAGAAATTGTACATTTACACAATGGAATACTACTCAGCAATTAAAAACAAGGAAATCATGATATTTGCAGGCAAATGGATGGAACTAGAAAAGATCGTCTTGAGTGAAGTAACCCAGAAGGAGAAAGACACACATGGTATATAATCATATAAGTGGAAGTTAGCCAAATAATATAGGGTGAACATACTAAAATCTATATTCCTAAAGAGGCTAAACATGGACAACCCTAGGGAAGAGGCTTAATCCTCATTCAAAAGGGCAAACAGAATAGACATCAGAAGTGGGAGAAGACAGGGAAGAGGACAGGAGCCTTGCACAGAGGTTCTCTGAAAGACTACACAGCAGGGTATCAAAGCAGATGACACTCATAGCCAAACTTTGGGCAGAGTGCAAGCAATCCTATGGAAGGAGGGGGAGATAGAAAGACATGGAGGGGACAGGAGCTCCACAAGGAGACCAACAGAGCCAAAAAAAATTGGGCCCAGGTGCTCCTGCAGAGACTGATACATCAACCAAGGACTATGAATGAAGAGGATCTAGAACCCCTGCTCAGAGTAGCCTATGGCCAGGTCAGTCTCCATGGGGGTTCCCTAGTAAGGGGAATGGGGGCAGTCTCTGTCAAGAACTTGGTTGCCTGATCTTTGATCACCTCCCCTTGATGAGGTGACCTTACTAAGCCATAGATAAAGAGGATCCAGACAGTCCTGATGAAATCTGATAGGCTAGGGTCAGATAATAGAGATGGAAGACCTCTATCAGAGGACTATGGCAAAGGTATGAGAGGTGGGGGGAGGGAAGTTAGGACTGGGAGGAGATGAGAAAGGGAGCTATAGCCAGGATACAAAGTGAATAAATTTTAATTATTACAGTGCCAGCAGAGGTCCAAACCTGATGGGTTCACAGCGTGGAGAAGTGGACCTGAGCCCTCATCCCTAACCCAGGAGCTGTGTGCTTCTTGACAGCCGCTTGCTAAGGAAAAATCTGTTTTCTCTAATGGCATCTCACTGAGTTTATAAACTACTTAAAGTCAGGCCTCATGTCCAGCAGTAAATGGTTAACACAAAACAAACTCCATGACATTTTTGTACATTTTTTTCTCTTCTATTGCTTTTTTTTTTTTTTGGTACTTTTTATCTTGCTGGTGTTTGTATATTATGGTTTCTGATTTTGTATCTTTATGGGTTTGAGTTTTGCATATTTTCTGTGTATTTTCTTGCTGTGAAGTTTTTTGGATTTTTTAAAATTATGGTTTGCTTGTTTTATTTACTTGTTCATAAAGAGAGAGTGAGAAAGAAAACTGAAGGCATGGAGTATGATGCCTTGGAGAAGTGGAAAGGTTCTAGAAGGATATGAGTGAGGGGAAACTGATCAGAATATATTGTATGAAGAAAATAATTACTATTAAAAATAAAAATTTGCTTTAGTCATAAAGGCAAAATAAATTATTTTAGAGAATTTATCCTCAGAATAGCCATCATATAGAAATTAATGAACACAGTTTTTTAACTTTTGTTCTATATGTATGTTTTTTTCTAAATGTATATAAATATAACCTGTGTCCCTGGTTCCCCAAATGCCTAAAGAGGCCATCATATCTCTACAAGTAGAGTTAGAGATAGTTGTGACTCTCCATGTGGGTGCTAGGAACCAAATATAGATCCTTTGCAAATGCAGGAGGTGATCTTAACTGTGGAAACATGTATCCTGGATGTAATTCTTAAAAATAAAAGAAAATGACATTTATAGGAGTGTAGATCCAGAGGAATACATGAAGGATGTATATAAGTCAATATAAAATAATTCTGCCTGTTATAAAAGAAATGTAGTGTGACTACATAGGTTAGAAATGTATTTTTTTTATTTTTATTTTTAGTTACAATTTGTTAACTCTGTGTCCCAGCTGTATCCCGCTCCCTCATTCCCTCCCCCTCCCCAACTCCCTCCCTGGTCTCCTCCCTGCCCCTTTCCAAGTCCACTGATAGGGGCCCCTTTCATTTGACCCTGTTTTATCAGGTATCTTCAAGGCTGGCTGCAAAGTCCTCTGTGGCCTAACAGGACTGCTCCTTCCCTGCGGGGGGCCGGGGGGGAGGTCAAAGAGCCTGCCCTTGAGATCCTGTTAGAAATAGTCCTTGTTCCCCTTACTTTGGAAAACTACTTGGTTACTGAGCTACCACGGGCCACATCCGAGCAGAAGTTCTAGGTTATATCAATAGATGGTCCTTGGTTGAGTGTCAGTCTCAGAAAAGACCCTGTGCCCGGATATATTTGATACTTGTAGAGCTCCTATCCTTTCCATATCATACTAACTCCCCTTCTTTCATATGATTCCCTGCACTCTGCC